ACGTTGGGCGAGAACCCGCCTGTGTCGTCGTTGTCCCACTGGCGAGGGCGCGACCCCTGCCGGCCCTTGGAGCGGCTGGATGCCTCGGGAGGGTCACCCCATCGGTCGTCTGACAGCGTGTCGCGTCGCCTGTTGCGCTTGCGGCCGCTCTGGTCTGTCTTGGTGTCGTACTCCCACTGGCTGCGCATGCCGGCGCGGTCACCGTAGTCGCCATAGCCGTCATAGTCGCCCTCATCGTAGAAGGAGTCATCGCGTGATGACGAGCCGCCCTTGGAGCGGGAGCGACCGCTTTTGCCGCTGCGCTTGCTTCCGACGGGCTGGAAGGTGCCATCCCGGCGGTAGGAGTTCTTGTGGAAGGAGGCGTAGTCCTCTGGGTCTCGGTCGCGGTGGTCGTGCTGGCGGCCTGAGTACTCCTCCCATGCGCTGTCGAGGTCGGGGTAGGTGAGGGAGCGGTTGCCCGCGTCACGGCTGGAGCGGCTGGACTCACCGTCGCGGTCTTCTGTCAGGGTCTGGGCGCCGCTGACATGTCGATGCAGACCCTGAGAGACACACAGACACATCAGAGAGAAGGAGTGAGGGGGTGCCGAAATGTGTTTTGTGTTGTGTTGTGCCCTGTTCTGTCCCTCGCCCTCGGCCACCCATTGACTCACCGCTTCGGGCGCAGCAATGCGGAGGGGTCCCTTGTCGGGGTCGTGTGCCTTCATGCTCTTGACGTACAACACGTATACGGTCCGCTCCTCCATCTCGCCCTCCTCGTTCTCCTCTGCGATGGAGTACTTCTCCTCAGCCACGCTGACCGTCTTCTCGCCCGGTTTGGGGAGCGCCTTGCCATCCAGGCCGACGGCCATGAACATGTGCCGGGGATACTGGTCGTTGACGAGCCTCACCACCTCCGATATCTTCGAACCGGAGTGGAAGTCCTCGGTCTCCACCAGCTTGTTGTCAGGCTCGTAGCGCTTCTCGGGGTCCACATCCCACTTGAGCACGAGGATGGTGACCTTGCCCTCGGTGCTGCCCCCCGTGGGCGGCTTGGCGCGCGGCTTGATGAAGCACAGCAGGTGGCGGCTGCTCTCCCTCTCGACAACGACGCCCACGTCACGGCAGCGGGTGATGTTGGGATGGGTCACGGGGCTGCCGTCGGGGTGCACCGGCACCAGCGGCCCCTGTGTCTCGACACCGGGCCGAGAGGCCGCCGCCCTCATCAGGGTGCTGACGCTGTCGCCCGGCCTGACCTCAGCCGACGCAAACACGAACGACTCGACATTGTTGAGGGTCTGCACCGCACCCTCCACCGTCACGTCGACGGCTCGGTGGTGCTCCACGATCACAATGACGGTGCCGTCGTTGGTGTCGGACACGGTGCTGATGGACTTGGGTGAGGCGTCGTCGCACTCGTAGTGGGGGATGGGTGAGGGGGGCGGGAGGGAGGCCGACGGTGAGGGCACCTTGACAGGCTCACTCTTGGCCGCCTTGGGCGACTCTGAACACACACAACACAACACAACGCATCACAACACGAGATGAGGATGCATTGCGGTGTGTGCGTGTTGGTCGTCTCCCGCCTAGTCCCCTCTTACCGGTGAAGAGTGAGTGGATCTTTGCTTCTGCCGTCTCGGACGCCTCACGTGGGTGAGGGGGGAAGGCGTATGGCGGCACCGCAGAGGGCGACGGCGCCCGCTCCACCACCGGCACACTGCTCGCCACCTCCCCCGCCACATCGCCCACACTGCTCTCTCCCCCCTCCTCAGCAGACACCGATGCGCCGCCCACGCCCACCTCGGCGGCCCCGATGCTGTCCAGCAGCGAGTCGATGATGAGCTGCTTGTCCGGCCCCTGCGGCTGCGCGTCCTCGGGCACCGGCGGCGGCTTTGACACGTCAGGGAGGCTCGTGCTGGTCTCGGGCATAGTGAAAGGAGGCGCGTCGGCATTGAGACTGCTGGATGTGGCCAGCGCCGAACCCTGCACTGGGGCCGGGAGTGTCAGTGGCCCGGCACTCAACCCCACCATCTCGTTGGGCTCGTCGAACCCCGGTGGTGGGCCGAAGCCTGGCGGTGGAGATGGGGGCGGGGGGGACGCCGATGCCGATGTCGCTGCTGCAGCAGCTGCAGCCGCAGCCGCCTGCTGGCGGAGCAACTTCTGGTTGAGGGCGTTGATGTCGGTCAGGTCGGACAGGTGCATGCTGTGAGGGCTCTGCGGCTGCGGCTGCCGCGACCGGCTGTAGCCCCAGTCGTCAGGCTGCATCGACGGAGGCGTCATGGGCGGTGGGCCAGCAGCGCCGCCAACCGCCATGAGGCTCGCCAGCATGTCACTGGCCGGTGGAGGGGGTGGCTGGGGAAGCATCAAACCGGACGTCGATGTGGGCGTGGGAGGCGAGAAGTCGGGCGGCTTGGTGGACGAGGGAGGGGGCGTCGGTGCAGACGCGCTGGCCGAGTCCAACGCAGCCAAACTGGTCATCAGCCTCGACGCGAGATTCGCTCCATGAGAGTCAGCCGGCACTGACGGCGACCGGGGCCGCGCAGGCGCCCCCCCAGGGGGCCCGCCAGGCTGCGCGACGGCCATGGTGAGGAGCGAGGCCAACACGCCCACCCCACCCACCTGCTGCACAGCCTGCTCCAGCCGTGCCCTTCCGATCTCCACCGGCTCGCTGAGGGCCTGCCGCACCACGTCGACGAGTCGGTTGATGATGGTGGGGTCGATCTTGGTCAGCGGACGCTCGCCTGGCGGCTTGACCCGCTGACCTGGCGTCCCCGGCCCGCCGCCCGCGTAGGCTGGCAGCTGGAGGGTCGACAGCGGTGGGGGCCTCGGGCGTGGCGGCTGGGGCGCCTGGGGGGAGTGATGCGGCAGTTGTGGTAGCTGTGGTGGGGGTGGCTGGGGCCTCTTGGGGACGCCTGGCGCGGCGCCCAGCAGAGAGGGAGGGCCCCGCTGCAGCAGCAGAGTGGTGGCAGTGAGCGTAGCGGCACTCACGCCGGGCGGGAGGGGGACGGTGGGCCGCCCCGTAGACTGGAGCTGCTGCTGCACCGGCAGGCTGGCCGCGTAAGGCACCTCAGTGGGCCGCGGCCGGGGAATCTGCGGGCGCGTCGCAGCGGCGGCGCCCAGAAGATTCGGTACGGGTGGCGCCGCCTTGGGCTGCGTGTAGAGCCGCGGCAACGGGAGCTCCTCAGAGTTGATGGAGATGGTCTTGCGCACCTCGTTGGCCAGCAGGTCGCGCATGGCCTGCTGGCTCTTGTTCAGTTGGGGAGTGCCCTCACTGGACGGGGGAAACGCACCCGCACCGGCGGCACCAGCAGCATCGATGCCTCGCGCGACAGTGCTGGCGGATGAGGGGGTGTGGCCCCCCAGCTGCTGGTGGTGGAGGGGCGGTGGGGTCTGTGCGGGGGGAGGGGGAGGGGGCTGGGAGGGCGATGTGGCCTGGATGGTCGACGGGCGCTCTGACGAGTCGCTAGAGGGGTGAGACGTCGCGCGCTGAGGGAGCGCAAAGCTGAGGGAGCGATCCAACACACGACATGAAGAGAGGGCAATACAGATGCTGCTGCCCTGGGTGTGTCTCTGTGGTTTGTGTTATGTGCTTACTGCGATGCAGTTGAGATATCTCCTGGTGCAACGCCACCAGAAACTGCGGCAGGGGCAGCACCGGCGGCAGTGGTCCGAACGTGTTTGGGTTCGTTGGCGGCGCCTGGCTTGATGAGGATTTCCTGCAGCTGTTCGGTCGTCAGCGCCCCGTTGGCCAGCGCCTTGGCCAACACCGACAACATGGTCATGTCATCCTTGCCTACTGCACACACATCACGACCACAACACATCACGACACATCACGACATTTTGCGTCTGCGCGTGGCTTTCGTGTTGTCCGTGCTGTGAAGTCACCTAGCAGTCCTTCAGCCATGGCGGGATTGCTCTGTGCCAGCTTCCCGAGCCGCAGCAGCTCCTTCAAAATGCCAGACTCTATCTTGGTCGGACCGTCGCCGACCGGCGGTGGCTGACCCTGCCCGATGCGCTGCACACCTGATGCACCCGAAGCACCGGTAGAGGACGACACGGCGCCCTCAGGCGTCCGCAGCCCGGTGGGTGTGCGGCCGTTGGCATCGGTGGGTGTGGGCGGTGCAGCCTGCGACATGCCCGTCACGGCCGTGCTCAGCGTGCTGGAGGAGGAGGGCATCAGACCGCCCCCGACATCGGCGCCCGGTGCCTTGGCTGCGGCTGCGGCTGTTGTGCCGATGGTGTTGGTGTCCGATGACGGCAGTGGTCCCTTCCAAATGGATTTGAGCATCTGGATGGAGTCGTGGTCCCCCCACGATGTCGACGCCGACTCGCCGATGGACGCCATGCTGGCCGTCGGGGGCGGCTGTGAGAAGAGGGAAGAGCCGCCGCCACCAAACAGGCTGAAGGCGCCCGTCGACGTGGCCGATGGCTCGGGAAGGGGCGGCAGCTTGCTACTGGCGCTCGGAAGGGGGTCTGCGGTGCGGCCGATGGGGGCGTAGAGTGGCGCTGTGGTGTTGGTGGTGTCGGTGGGCGGGGTGGGGAAGACATCTGATGCGGCACGGGTGGCCGTCATGGTATCTCCGATCGACGCTACTAGTGGCTGCGGCTGTGGTTTGGGGGCGGATGTGTCGGCAGCCGGTGATGGTGTAGCCGAGGGAGCCAGAAGGGGTGGACACAGGGAATCTGCCCACACATCACACACATACACACATAGGATGAGACGAGTGTTGCTGTGTGTCGGCTGGTGAGTTGCCTGACCTTTCATGCCGTGTGTCGTCTCCTGTCCCCTCTCTCCCTCCGTGGCGCTTTTCTCTGATGGCCCTGCTGGCTGGGCGGCATCAGCTTCAACAGGCTTCTCGGCCTCTATCGCAGCAGCGTCATCCATCACACCAGCCGAGATACCCTCCTGGCTCATGTCTCCTGAACACCGCCACACACCACAAGACCACACACACAGTGGCGTCTTGTGTGGTGTCGTGGTGTGTGGGTGACGGCTCACCTTGTTGTTCGGGGTTGGTGTCGGGAGGAGACTCCATCTGCAGGCCGCTCGGGAGCGGCGACAACGACATTCTTCTACTCGATGGATCGATAGCAGGATCCAGCTGACCGATGGTCGATCAGGAAATATAGACAAACGTGCTCAGTAGGTCGGTTGGTCGGAAGGCTGTGGCTGGACGAAGTGCTCCCGCCGACGACAACCAAGCAAGCGCTCCGCTTGCTGAAGGCTAAGACAATCCGATGGAACGACTCACGCCACAGTGAGTGGGCAGTGAGCGAGTGTCCTCCTCCGCCAACAGCTGTCAACCGCAGCTGGCTTGGTGGCTGAGTGGCCCGGTTGGCCTATGCGTTTCTTCTACGCCGAGACGGATAGCAGAGGACGGTTTTGGCGCTCGCCTGACGTGCTGCCGCCCTCCTTGGTGGGTCGCCGAGAAGTGTCACAGGGAGCTGAGGAGGGACAAGCAGTGCCGAGACGCCGAGAGGTGGTCGATGGAGGGTCTGACAAGTCACGGGTGCCTCACGAGGGTCTCAGAGACGTACAGCGAGGCTTCTACACCTGCAGCACAGACCACCACATCGCAGCCACACGTCAGCGATTGCGTCAACGTCCACATGCAGCGTGCACTGTCGTGGGGAGCCGGCGAGACAGCCGGCGGTTGCGTCAGTCCCGCTGCTCGCTCCCCGTCCCTGTCTCCGTGGTGCTCACCTTTGTATCAGACGCTGGTCACGGGGTGCGGCGTCAGACCCGTTGCGGTGCTCCATCTGCGTCGGACCCGTCTAGACGGACACGCTGCAGCTGCAGACGATCAGTGGACGTGTCGCTGGATGGCAGATAGCCTTTCAGGTTCTCCAGCACCTCGTCGCGATTGCGAGCTTTTTCAGCTTAGCTCGCACGGGGGAGGAGGGGAGGGAAAGAGGAAAGGTCCGAGCTCACACAGGTAGGGACTCTGGGCAAGGAGGATGGACAGGACGCAGTCACGCCTCTATTCTCTCCTGTTTGCAGTCATCCGCGGTTGTGAGGACCATGACGAGTTGGCTCTTGAGTTGGCTACTGCCTTGGAAATCAATGTGAGCGGACCATCAAGGCATCAGCCCTCATCTTGTCGGACGTCAAGGTCTTCTTTACGAGCGACATCCATCACACTGCTGCTTGGTTCCAACCAGCATCACTCTCCTCTGCCCGGTGAGCAGTCAGGAGATGAGCCCACATCACTCTTGTATGGCTGTTGCCCATGGGCTGTTGCCTGCTCAGGTGGATGCATCTTGTGAATGAGTGAGCGGCGCATCGCAGCTGCGGAAGGACTGCCGGCTGCATGCGGTGCGGCAGGGTGAGGGGACGAGGGATGGACGCCAGCACTGCAGTGAACCGCCCCTACGACCCCTCCGCCAGCATGGCCGCGGCACCCACCACCACCACAGGGCCTGCTGTCCGTCGCCACCCCGGGCGGGCAAGCGGCAGGGTGTGGTCACAAAGCGCCGCTAGGCCGTGTGCGCTGCTGATCCGCAACTTGCCGAGGGGCGTCAACGAGCAGGAGCTCGGGCTGGCCTTCTCGCCGTTGTCCATGCAGGCTCATTAACCCGAGTGCTGGTTGGAAGGAACATTCATACACCCACCAACCATATGCTGTGGTCACAACGAGCCGGCCGCGTCTGCGGTGCTGGCTCACGTGCATCATCCAGGGCTCTTGCGGCACGCGCAAGTCTGTGGTGACTCACTAGGAGCGCAACGTGGCACCACGTCGACATCTTCTATTCCACACGGACATGTGGAAAAGGTCAGTGGAGGGACAGGCGCCACAACAAAAGTTGCGCTCACACACACACGTGTCCGTTGATCGATTTGTGATGTGTTGCAGATAGTGTTGCTGGCGTCTGGCTGTTTTAGGTAACAGGCAGGCAGGCAGGGAGGGAGGGCAGGCAGGATGTCCAGTGTGCGCCTGGACGGACGGAGGGGCGTCTACGTACACGTATATACATACATATATATTGTACGAGATGTTGGGGAGCCACCACGGCTTATGTGTTGGCACTTCCATCGATGTCATCGTTTCATGATTGATTTGGGTGGTGCTATGCGATCAAGGCCCTTCCTTGATGTCTGACCTCACGTGTTCGTTCGTTTGCATTGGTTGACCGAAAACAGAGCGTCAGTCGGGCAGAGGCCACTTATGAATTTGGAAGCTGAATGGGCGTCAGACAGATTGAGTCACATGCATGTCTGCTTGACGTCTGCACGGACCATCCATCACGTTTGGTGTATCTTGTTCACCAAGAGGCCGTGCAGTCAGTTGGTGTCTCACGCCGCCTATTTGATCTTCGCCTTGATCTCTTTGATGTGCCCCTCCATCCTTGCCTCCATCTCCGTCAGCCTCCATCTCCACCACGGACTAACTGGTTTCTGCCGATCCACACACACACATGCACTTACTCGGTTGCCTATCCTTCTCTGCCGCTCAGCTGCCTGGCTGGCTACCCTTTGACCTGGCTGCCACTGCGGTGAATTGCACACGGTGCCTTGCTGATGCCCTCACTCTATTTTGGATCGTCGCCCCCACACACACGCACTCGACAGAACAGATGACACGACAGACAGAGATGGACAGTGGGGATCGGCGGGAGTGAGGGGCAGAGGCGATGAGAAGGGAAGAAGAGATGAGCCCACGAAACCAGCCAGCCAGCCAGGGTCGATCAGCCAGCTGGTGCTGCACTTAGCTTATGTACTGCATGCCTGCAATGCGTCCACCCGTCGCTCTCTCACTGCCTGCCTGCCTGCCTGTCTGCGTCGGGCGGCTACATTTGTCAAAAACCCATATTGTGCCCACTGCCTCATGTGAAGAATGACCATACCACCCAGCCAGCGGCAAGTGCCATGCCACCGTGAGGGTCGGTCTAGCCAGAAAGACAGAGAGGCTACCACCACATAAGAGGGGCCGGCCTACCGTGTCGCCGCCGTTGCACACTCATTGTGTGTGTGGGCATCGCGGCACGTCGAGTCGGGTCACACACGGGCGTGATGGCGGCAGAAGGAGAGGAGGGGGTTGCCGCCCGCCTCATCATCGACCCCTTTTGACTTGGCTTGCCTGCTCAGAGGCCGAAGTGACTTGCTCCATGCGAACACACTGCCTGTCTGTCTGTGTGATGCATCCGTGTGTGATGTGCATGACGGCATGTCTGTGTGTGTCTCTGTCCGTGCGTTGTGGATTTGGACCATGCACCGTTGGACCACACACATCCCTCAAGTCAAACCTTTAAGTGTATCTCTCTCTGTCTCCCTGGTTAACTGGCGGCGCCACGAGGGGGCAGCCATATTCATTTGTGTCGACTTTCAGCCATCCGGGCAGAAAGCTGAATGGGCGTCAGACGGATTGAGATCTGCATGGGCCATCCATCACGATCGGTTATGGTGTTCATGCAGGAGCCATGCACTTGTCTATTGTCATTTGATCTTCGCCTTGATCTCCCTGATGAGCGCCTCCATCCCTACCTCCATCTCGGTCAGCCGTTTCTCCATCTGCCTGTGCCGGGCGTCTTGTCGCTCCGTCTGTCGCTTGTCCATCTCCGTCTGTCGCTTGTCCATCTGTTGCACAACTGGGACAGTCAGACAGGGAGAGAGAAGTCGAGATGGATTAAGGCGAATATACAAGATTCTTCACTTTGGCACCTGGTTGGATTTCGGCTTTGAACTGCCTGAGGGCTGCAGCACATAGACAGACACAGCCTTGTCGCCTTCCTCGTGAGACGCCTGTCTGTCCTGTCTCACCTCCCATGACGTCAGGTACGCCCGAGTCGTGATGGTCTGCCGCCTCAATCCACTTGTCGATGCGGTCCTTGTATGATTCCCGTGCTTTGCGTCTCTCATCAGCCGTCTCCGCGCTGTCGGTTTTGGTGGCGTCAAAAGAAAACAGCAGCCCCTGCCAAGCGAACATTCCAGAGAAACGAGACAGTGCCTCTGCTTTTGTCTGATCTCGCGTGTCTTCTGACCCTCACCCATTGGGCGTAGTGGCACAGAAGATTAGCGGGCGTCAGGAGGATGAGAAGGGGTAAGCAGAGTACGTGACACAGTACCACCACATAGTCCCCCTTCCCTATCGCTCGGAGAATATCCTCCAGCATTTTGTAGGTGGCCACGGGTGTGAAGGCGACGATAAGCAGGAGTCCGTCGACGGTGACGTAGACGACTTTCATCGACCAGAAGGCAATGCGGCAGAGTGCCGACTGCTCCCGCCGTTGTTCGCTTATGAGGGAGGCGAGATATCGCAGGGGCTCCGACACGAACACAGCTGCACAGACACAGATCATGCCCACATGTCATGTCTCGTGTCGCACCGACCGATGAGGTTGAATGGCGGCGGCAGCCTCTCGTGGCGAGGCATTGTGAGGTACTCATTCAACACGCGAATCCGCAGCAGCCTGAGTAGATGAGCGGAGAGAGGACCATTATGCGCCGCTGTCTGTCTGTCTGTCTCCCTTGTCTCTGATACTGATATTGTGCAGCCTGTGTCTCCTCGATGGCCGCATACGTCGACGCCTAATGGTGACACACACACGCCTTGTCCGTCGCCCTGTCGATGTCCCTAAGGCTTGTATCTCGTGTCTGTCTCACCATGATGGCGATGAGCAGGTCCAGCTATCGATGGATGCCGACAGACACAAAGAGAGACAGACAAAGGGAGTCCTTGTGTGGTGCTGACTGCCTGAGTGGTGCCGACGTACGAGTATGATGGACGAGAGGATGACGTATGTGAACAGCAGGACGGCCCCCAGCGTGTCGTGGCTCTCTATGGCGTTGGTCAGCGCCTCGTTGAAGTCGCCCTGTCCGGCAAAGAAACTGCACAGCACGACAAGACGGAGAGAGGCAGGTGTCCCTTTCCTCTGTGTCTTCTCATGAGGTCCCATACTTACAGTGTGAGTGTGGCTTTGGGGAAGGAGCCGAAGTACTGGTGGTCTTCATCGGACGAGAGGACGGTGAAGACGCCCGCGAAGACCAGCAGGATGTAGACGTACAGACAAAGAAAGATGCTGATGTCCGAAAACATCCTCACGATCGCACTGACACACACACCCGTCACACACAGCATCAGACGCCTCTCTCTCTCTGTCTCTCTCTGTGTGTCTGTGTGGCTCTCTCTCTCACTGACAGGATGAGTGACCCCACGGTTGGCTGCAGGCTGGCGGTTTGCAGGAGGCGCAGCGCAAAGAGCAGCGCTATGACGATCCCTGAGCTCACTTCCGCCTCGGCAGAGTAGCCTCGGAAGTGGACGGCGATGAAGGCAGCGATCGCCAGGCTTGAAGACATATCGATGACATTCCTGCAGTGATGTATGCCAACAACAGCGTGAAGATGAGGCCGCCAGTATGGCTGCCTCTGCATTTCGGACTCGTACCATGAGTCGGCCCAGTACGCTGCCTTCAGGCGGATGCCCTGCACACGCATAAGCATGATGCGTGTTAGTCGTGATAAGTCATGTCTCCTCTCGTCTGTCTCACTTGGAAGGCCTCCTGTAAATTGAAGCCGCCTCCGGTCAGCACCGCACCCCACAGCCACACCGCCGGCCACAGCCCCGCCATGATCATGCCGCTGTCTCCTCTGATCGACTCGATGTGCAGCAGCACAAAGGCCACCCTGCAAGGCACACACAGAGAGAGAAGAGATGCCATGCGCTCTCTCTGCCTCCATCGTAGTGCATGTCTGCTGTCTTACATGAGCAGCATTGACAGCACTCGGCTGATGAAGATGTCACGGGGCGACAGCCGAATCCCCCCTACTCCAACTGGTGGATGCCAATGCTTGGCGACGAGAGAGATGCAGTTGGCTGTCGCAATCATTCGCAGCAGAGGGAAAGGAGGAGACATGAACGGACAGACCGAGAATGGGAAATCCCTTTTGTGGGTCACCTTGAGTGACGACAGTGAGGGGCTCCGCCGATTCAAGCAGTGCAAACCACTCTGTCTCTCTGCCTTTGAGTGACTCTTCGAAGTCCCGCATCCTGGTATCGCTGCAGAAGTTTGTTGTGAGAGCCTAAAGCGATGGGCAATGCAGAATGCGGTGTGTGTGTCCCTTCCTGATTACTTCCTGCCGGTCTGCAATGGCTCCGAGGTCACTGCAGGTACTCACACAGACATGCAGATGTTCGCATTGTGTTGCTCCCTTTCTGTACTCTGTGAGGGAGTCCTTCTGCCCTGTCTGCATCATCTTGCGGAAGAAGGCACACAAGCGAAGGCGGTCGGGGCCCGGCGAATCAGAGCGGTCCTTCAGGAACCCCTTCGTGAAGGGCACCATCTCCTTGAGATCCTTAGCGTCCACATCTTCCATTTTCGCGCCTCCCTCGACCAGCTTCACAGCCACGTCTCCAGCCACGACAGCCATCGCAGCAACGAGTATCAGCTTCTTTCCTTTGAGGGCCAAATCGAAAGGCGTCTTTCCTTCCTGTCAGAGTCACGGGCAGGGACAATTCCAAGACGAAACTGGATAGGTGCAGTGCAGTCTACGTTTTTGATTTTCAAGAGCTGTGGGTCCACCCTCAACATCACCTCCACCACATCGACATGGCCCTCTTCTGCAGGAGAGGTACACGTCGAAGACTCATGTACTTGTGGCTGTCACTTGCAGGAGTGACTGACGTGCTGCCGTATGAAGAGGCGTCCAGCCAAACTACAGACACAGCACGAACCAGAAGACATGATGTCCAATGCACCACTCGACATTGTCCCATCGTTACGTCGGCCCGAGCTTCCAACATATGCTTTCCGCCCCACTCGACAAACTTCTCCACAACACCAACTGACCCCGTCTGTACTGCCCGATGAAGAGGCGTCTGGCCATTCTACCGACACAGCATGAAGACAGTTGGGAAGACACCGGTCAGCTGACGGACAGAATGAGTATAACCGTCGCGCACGATACCGGGTTTTTCAGGTTGAGCAGGTGGCGTCGGCTGTGCAGCAGCACCTCAAACACCGCCACATCCCTACACTCGCCTGAGAAGCACACACAGGGGCCGCGGCTGCATCATGTGTTTGTTGTAATGCGAAGAGGCATACCTGCGGCGTAATGGATGGCAGACCCATACCACCCTCCAGTCGTCAGGGCTTTCTCGGTTTGCTCAGGCGACAGACCGGCGAGGGCCTTCCGCAGGCCCTCCGCATCTGACTCTTTGATGGCCTTTTTGATGCTGCGTCTCAGTGCATCTGTCGGATACCAATTGTCGGCGGCCGGGGCACCCACCAAGGGGACCTGCAGACGACACACAGACGTCCGAGAGGCCTCAGAGTCGACTGACACCAACCCACCTGCTCGAAGCGTCTCGGTGCCTTGGTGATGTCATCGCTGACGTCCGGCAGCTGGGGCTCCATCAGCCCTTGGCCATCGTCCAGCAGCAGAGGAATGTGCTCACTCGAGGCCGACGCCATCTGCAGTGGACAGACAGACAGACACAGACACCAGGCGTCAGAGGCAGCCGCTGGTCACTGTGCAGCAAGGGCATTGCAGGGTGACCTTGGGATGGTCTGTCTGTGTGTGGTGGATGGCCTGCTGTGCGGCAGCGTCGCCCTCGTCGACTCTCGGCAGCTGGATGTAGCACGCCTCATCAACACCACTGGGGCGGCTGTGGCCGTCTCGCACACTGTCGCCCTCCTGGCCCTGCACACGGGGGCTGCGCTGCGTGCGCAGCAAACCCCACATCTTTCCCACGAGGGCTGTGGCGCGACTCGGCAAGAGTGCAGCGGCTACAGCCCTCAATTGCCGCCCCCACGCTGCATGCCGCAACTCTCTTCATCGCCTCTCTTCAAGCTGTGTCTTCTATTTTGATCTGCCTGTCTGAATGGCCAGATTGCTGAACACACATGAAGTCGTTCCTCGCACACATACAGTGCCACATTATGGGCGCAACCTCTCAAGCTCACAGATACTATGTTGACGCAGTTCATTACATGAGAGACCGCCAGACTCTTCCTGCCGTTGGGCTATGAGTTAACGTATCTCACACAACATACTGCTGCTGCACACACAATGTCATCAGATCTAGATCCTCGCTCCTCGGTCAGTCAGCTCATGAATGGCTATCTATGTCTATCCTGACTATATCCGGACGAATGAACGTATGCACAACAGTGGCAGAGCGAAGGGGAGAGGAAAAGCACACACTCAAAACCCGTAGGTTAGTCAGTCACGTCAGTCGCGCAGCTTGAGACACAGCACACTCGGCACACGCGACGTAGGCCGCCCTCCTGAGCCATCACCGCAGCCACACACGACACACCTGGTGCCCTTGCTGCTTGAGCACTGATGCCACAAAGCTGCACAGAGACAGACAGACAGACAGACAGATATTGTCGGTGTACATATATGTGGGATCCGTTCCGCAGCGTCTGATGTTTTGATGGTGGTGACACTGGTGAGCATGTCGGTGCCGTGTTGGTCCGATCCGACCCTAACGACCATTAAGACAAAACAAAACAGCCGCACAGTGGCGCTGCGATACGAGAGTGTGTCCATCTTCCCCTGAGGATGATCATGTGTTTGGCCAGTGTCTCGAGGCGAGCGAGGAAGCACCGCTCTGCATAGCACATACCTGACATAATACCACACAAAGGACAGCACAAGAACCGCGTGTGTGTGTTCGAATAATGGCTGACGATCTCATGTCACGTGCATCATGCAAGGGGCCAGCAGGAGTGATGAGTCAAGTCGATGAGGCCGATGCGGACCCACCCAATATATATACACACGGATTGATGTTACTCCAGTAGTCGGTCTCACACAGTCATTGACAACCGCTGCACTCACACACATCTGCCCATGCGACCCACATAGGCCTATGTATACACACGGATTCATGGTATTCCAGCAGTCGGTCTCACACAGTCATTGACAACCGCTTCACGCAACACATATGCCCATCCATCCGTCCATCCATTTATCCTTTAGTGTCTATCCACAATCAACGACAGAGATCCGCCCCGCCCGCAGCCACCAATACTTCATCCAACAGCAGTCAGGCTGCCGATGTCTACGGCTACCTGACACCGCACACACAAACACACACAACAGGCGACCAAGTAGATGCACACACGTGCCCTCTCTGTCCGGCCTCTCCGTTCCCTCTCACCAGCTGTGGTATCGTCTACGTGCGCGTCTCGACGGTGATGGTGTCGTCCTCCATGGTGACGCTGTATGCTGTGTCCAGCAGGTTGAACCATGCGAGCTGCGACTGGAACAGCCGCCTCATATGGCCAAGGACGTGGAGACTCAGGAAGACAATGGACGCCTCGCTCACACCGGGTCGCGAAATGATGCCGACGAGCGACGCCATCATCGAGCCGTACAAGGCCACCATCGAGTCGTCCTCTTCTAGCCCGTCTGCACACAGCAGCGACACACATACTCGTGATGTGTGAGCTGCTCAGGTGGGCTGTCTACCTCGTGTGGCACTGCTTACCCATCACATAGACGTTGACCTCGTCGATGGCCGGCAGGTCGTGGCTCGCCCACTTCTGCAGCGGCCGGCTGTGGTCCAAGATGCCTTTCGCCGACACCTCAATGTTCACTGATAGGCTCCTCTCCGTCTCGCCCTCGTTGCTATCGCCCCCCTCCCCGGCCCCCGGCCCCTTCCCTGTGGCCATGTGCCTCTTGACTGACTCCAGGAAGGCCACAGAATTCTTCGGCGCGTCCTGGTGCGCCTCGAGATTATCCACGAAGCCGATGGTGCTGCACCGGGGCATGTTGGCGACCGTCTTGGCCAGGCCGCTCCGCACCCGTGGCGGCAGCTCTCCCGCCGTGCAGCGGAATGTGGTGGCGCGGGGGAAATATGCGGCCGCGTGTGCGGCGGCGTTGGGGTCGGTGAGCTCGTTCTTGTAGAAGACCACATCGGTGACAGCGGCAAACTCACGAACGAGCTTCTGCACCTGCAGGCACACAGACAGACCGCATTGGGGACAACTGCGTCTGAATGTGTTGAGGCGCAGCCGCCCGTGGTGTCTTGTCTACCTGAGGTCTTTCATTGGCCATCCATTCGATGAGTTCCAGCTCCATCTCGAGATTGTCTGCCTTCTTGACAACCTGCGGCTGGCTGAGGGCCTCCGGCTGCAGCATTGCCTCCGACAGCAGGGCCACCTCCTGCAGCAGCCCCTTGTGCTCCGCCGTGATCTCGGTGGCCTCAATGGGCAGCTCGCGAAGGGACTTGTGACATCCCCGCTCCACAAAGGCCTGCCGGAGGTTGTCCACTGTCTGCACAGCCTCATCACTCCGCAGCTTGAGGGGGCCGATGGATCGCAGGCGGGCGAGGGAGCTCCCCAGTGGCGGCATGCACAGCAGCCTCAGCTTGGAGCGGGCTGTCGGGCCGCCATCGTCGAATGTCTCCAGATGCTCGCATGACGTCATCCATCCCGCCGCGTCGCTCGAATAACCGTCGTCCTCCTTGAAGGTCATGGCCCGCACCGACGGCGTCTGCCACACGCGACGGCCCTTGCGCACGGCCGCACATCCGTATGGCATGTTATGCACCTCCTCGAGGGCCGACAGGTCGACGGGCGGGGGGGACAGGGGCAGGGGGTCCACCGGTAGAGTTTGATCGTCGTAGTGGTGCGGCTCGTCGTCGATGTCCTCCTCGAAGCTGAGGACCTTGATGGACGACGCCGCGGATGGCAGGTCCTGCCCTCTGGCTGCTGCCGCTGCTGCTGCTGCCCCGCCCTGCCTCTCCTTCCTCTTCGCCCTCATGGCCTTCCTGGCCTCGGCATTCCCCTCGATCAGCGCCACCCAGGTCCCACGACACCAGCGGCTGGCTTGGTTCTTGTAGATGACGTGCAGGTGGGCGATGTTGGCCGCCCGCTGGCCCCACCGGTGTGCCACCTCCAGGGGCATTCGCTCCCACTGCTGGCGCACGCCGCCCTTGTCCGAGCCGTCGATGGTCAGATGGGTGTATCGCTTGGCCGCCCAGCCGAAGACCGTCTTGCCGATCGTGGTGGCGACGCGCGTCAGCTCTGAGGGCTGGTAGAAGCCGAACACACACGCCAGCTCATCGGGGGAGAGGCGAAGGGACGGCTGTACAAGACACACATTCACACACAGAGGTCGACAGGGTCGTGCACGTATGGGCGGTCTTTGTTGTCTTGCTTTTACCGGTCCACTGTTCGGCGGCGGTTTCCCCGACGTGTGGACCAGGCGAAACGATGGCGTCGGGGCGCCCTCCTCCTCCTCTACCACAGCACTACTCTGCACCAGCCAGCAACACAGCAACAGCACAGAAATGAACAGATGCCACCCCGCACCCATCCCTCTTGAGTCCTCCGGACCTCAGCATCGGGCTCTTCGGGCGGCACTTCGATGGCCACAGCAGCAGCAGCAGCAGCAGCAGCAGCGGACGCACTGACGTCGTCCATTGGCTGTGGGAGGGCCATGGCCGCCATTGCTGTGAGGGAGTCCATTGCACCAGCCACGGCAGCCTCAGCAACGGACACTTGTGACACCGCATAGGAGAGCGACGCCTCGGCCACCCCACCGCCATCTCGCTGGTACGTCTCGCAGCTCCGCTGTGCGTCCGTCTGCAGCCGCTGGAGCCCCTCGCGCAACAAACTAGCGTCGGTACACAACTGCATCAAACGAAAACACACACAGCACGGCAGCAAACCTGTTGTCACTTATCGGTTATATTCCGGCAGATCTCTCTGACTTACCTTGCTAATCATGGTGCCCGATGGTGTGGTCTGGGCCGACATATGATCCTCTGCCGCCGAGGCATCCATAACTACGTCGCATCCGATGCCCTGCCGACCTCATACGGCGGAATCATTGTGACGATTCCAACAGGACGGAAAGGGCATCAATTCACCCATCCATCCATCCATCTACCCATCCATCCACATGCATCACCTGCTCCCAAGCCGCTTTCCTTGCCATTTCCTGAACTGCAAGCTCAGACTTCTGAAGAAGGGAGCTCCGCACGTGGATCTTGGCATCGTCTGACGCCCTGACGTCATCAGGTGCGGGAAGGGTGTGACACAGCAATCAACAAGAACCAGATCTATTCATCCCATTTATCCGTGTGACATGCAGGTACTCACAGACAGAGATCTGTTGAGCAGCGACGATGGACGCCGACTTGGCCGCTCGCAAGTTCAGCGCCATTGCGATTCTCGATCGGCTGCACGTGCCTGTCACCGCCATCAGCGACGCCATCGGCCACCTGCATGGGCAGATCCGCCAAGCCGACCACGACGCCCAGCGAGAGAGGCAGAAACACGGCGCCTCCGACCCGTCAAGGGCATCGCCCGATGACGAGCTGACACTGAGTGTGGGCGGCGTCGAGTGGCACGTGAGCCGCAAGCACCTGACGGAGGGCGACGGCGTGGAGGGCACTCTGCTGGCGGCGCTGTTCTCGGGCTGCTGGGACGGCCGGCTGAGGAAGGACGACAAGCAGAGGATCTTCGTGGACGTTTGCCCTGAGGCCTTCAAGGCCATCCACAAGGCCATCCTCGACGCCGTGACCCTTCGCAGTGCGGGCAAGACGGCGTCGGTCGGTCACCTGCTGGATGAGGCCACCAAGCGGGACCACAGAGGTGAGCAGAGGCACAGAGGTCAGCTACGCTTCTATTGGGCTGTGTGGTGCAGGTTTGCATGACTTCTGGGTCAAGCTGCTGCTGTCGCCGCTCGACAAAGCGGCCTCAGACGCCCCTCCAAGGGCCGATGGCGAGCCCACCATAGCGGCCGAGAGCCTTCCCGCCCACAGTGAGTCCCTGGTCAGCGCCGTGGAGGCCATCGTGCGGGCAGCCAACACCGAGACGGCCCGGCTGGAGGGGCAGCTGGAGGCCGCCAAGCGACGAGACACAAACCTCGACAACGAGATCAAGGTGACACACACGATGGGGGGAGAGGAGCTATTCATCTGATGCGCCCTGTTTGTGTGCCTGTCTGTGTGGGACCAGGCCGTCACGCCATTCCTGGCACCTCTGAGTGGCGACGATCCCATTCGGTCAGTGAGGGTCTGCGGCCACGCCATCGCCACCACACAGTCCACCGTCGACGAAATGAACGACAAGCTCAAAAACCGCTTCGACATGTCAGCCACACATGGACAGCCTGACAATGACAGAGATGCACACCGATGGCTGCCTGTGTGCCTGCGTGTGTGTAGGTGGCCGCGGCCCGTCGAGGTGGTGCAGCCCGACCACATCGGCCGTATGGTCGACCACTACCGCCGCAAACGGCTCGGCGCGTCGGCGGCCGACACGGCTGTCGTGCTGACAATGGCCAGTGAGACTGAGCAGGCGGCCTTCGGCATCAACGCCGCCATGTACGGCGTCGAGACAGACATAGTCATCTCAGACACCAGGTGGACAGATCGAGGGCAGCAACAGGCCGGGCTGGTGTCGCCATCTGTCGTCTTTTTTGCCTTTGCAGTGGCGATGGCTTCACGCAGATGCCGTCTGGAGTGCGGTACAAGATTGTGCAGCAGGGCAGTGGGCCCAAACCAACACGCAACCAGACCGTCAAGTATGACTACATCCACTGGCGTGACGGCTTCGACGGACAAGACAAGATAGGCGAGGACCGTGGGCGGGAGGTTCGTGTGTCTGATCGGGCCGAGTGGGCCCGGGAGGTCGTCACTGATATGCGTGTGGGTGAGGTGCGGCGATGCATCGTGCGTGTGGGAAAGGAGCTGTATATCGAGTATAGGCTCTTGGCCATCCTGTGAGCTCTCTCTCCTCCCTCGCGTGAGTGTTTGTCGGGGCCGGGATTCTACTCTCCCGTGGCATGGTAGTGTGCTGTTAAGTGATGTGTGCTGGGTACCTTGGGCGTGAACGCACACCTCTGTGTGCCTTTTGTGTACGTGTGGCGAGCGATTGATGAGACCTGCTTTATTGCAAGCGCACGATCAGTGCAGATGACTGACCTCGAAATCAGCTAAATTCATGTACCAGGCATGCTGATGAAATGCGTGTCCAGGGGATGCTCAGCGAAATGTGTGTGGGCGAGGCTCTCACGTACGTGTCTGCCTGCCGTGCACTCACTGCTGTGCGCCGTGCCGCCCCGAATCTGCAGTGGGGGGCGGCACGGCGAGTGGGGCCATGGTCGGGGTGATGTGGGATGGGGTTGGGCTGCTGGGTCAGGGGGACTGGTGGGTGAGTGGTGTCTTGTTGACGACGTGGTGCGGTTGATCCACTGTACTTTCTCGCCGGTGGTGCTGTGTTGTGCTGCGTGTGGTGCATGGGACCTCCATGTGTGTGTGCCATACTGACTCTGCTATGCTATGGTGTGGTGTGAGCTGCTGTGTGAGGGGTGAGGTGAGCTGTGTACCTGCGCCTCCTTTTTTTCTGTAGCGGACTGACTGACTGTGAGCGAATCTGAAGAGAGAGAGCGACGCCCGTGGGGCTGGACGATAAGAGCGCTGGGGACCGATATGACGCTATGCTATGCTATGCTTTGCCGTGCCATTGGCCTAACACAGACAGACATCCACCAGACGCAACCAACCACGGACTCACTGGTTTCTGCCGATCCACACACATGCACTCGCATTGACAGCACGCGGGTAATGAAGACATCACGGGGTCCAAAATCAATCGACCGGCAAAAGCAGCCTATCCTGAAAACTGGTGGCGGCTGCCAATGCTTTGTGACGAGAGAGATGGAGTTGGCTGTCACAATCATTGGCAGAAGGACGACGCCATGAGCGGCCGACAGCCAAAAGGGGGTGAAGTCTCTGTGTTGGCTACCTTGAGTCACTACTGTGAGGGGCTCCGCAGACTCGAGCGCCGCGAACCATTCTTTCTCTTTGCCTCTAAGTGACTGTTCAAAGTTTTGCATCCTGGTATCGCTGCAGAAAGTCGCTGTGAGTGCCTGACCCGGATCGTACCCCCCAATCAATGCGACAAGTAAGACTGTGTGTGTCCTTACTGTTTACCTCCTGCCAGTTGGAAATATTCTCAAAGTCACTGCACGAAGAACGAAAAAGAAAAGAGAGGAGAGAGAGAGACGAAGAAGCATGCAGATGTTCGCATGATGTCCCCTCCTCTCCATTCAATCGCACTCTGTGAGGGAGTCCTTCTGTCGTGCCTGCATCAGCTTGCGGAAGAAGGCACACAAGCGAAGGCTGTCGAGGCCCAGCGAATCAGAGCGGTCCTTCAGGAACCCCTTCGTGAAAGGCACCACCTCCTTGAGATCATGGGCGTCCAGTTCTTCCATTTTCGCGCCTTGCTCGAGCAGCTTCATGGCCACGTCTCCAGCCACGACAGCCATCACAGCGACGACTTTCGGCTTTCTGAGGGCAAAATCGAAAGGCGTCTTTCCCTCCTGTCACATTAGCGGGCGGGGACAGTTGAGGTACCAGAGTCGATTGGTGCGGGCAGCCTACGCTGGTTTTGATTTTCAAGAGCTGTGGGTCCACCTTCAACATCACCGCCACCACATCGGCATGGCCCGAGACTGCAGGAGAGACACGTTGAAGACTCATGTAGTTGTGTGGCTATCATTTGCAGGAGTGACTGACATGCTGCATCATGAAGAGGCGTCCAGCCAATCTTCCAGCCAATCTGAATCACAGCATGACAGAAGACGCTTGCTGTTCGATGCACCAGTCGAGATTTCCCTCGTCCTAACGTTGGTCCGAGCTTCCAGCAGCTCCTCTCCGCCCCACTCGACAGACTGCTCCACAAACCAACTGACCCTTTCTGTGCTGCCTTGTGAAGAGGCGTGTCGCCCTCCTACAGACACAGAAGAAAGATATCGGCCGGCTAATGAGCGGAATGAGTGTAATGGTCCAGCACGACACCTTATCTTTCAGGTAAAGCAGGTCGTGTCGGTTGTGCAGCAGCACCTCAAACACCGCCACATCCGTACACTTGACTGAGAAGCACACACAGGGGCCACTCAGCTGCATCATGTGTGTGCAGTGGTGCGACGATGCCTACGTGCGGCGTAGTGGATGGCAGAGCTCCCATATTCCCATCCAGTCGTCAGCACTTTCTCGGTTTGCTCAGGCGACAGACCGTCGAGGACCTTCCGCAGGCCCTCCGCATCCTTGTCGTCGATGGCCCATCTGATGCTGCGTCTCAGTGCATCTGTCGGATACCAATTGTCGGCGGCCGGGGCGCCCACCAAGGGGACCTGCAGACGACACACAGACGTCCTAGAGGCCTCAGAGTCGACTGACACCAACCCACCTGCTCGAAGCGTCTCGGTGCCTTGGTGATGTCATCGGTGACGTCGGGCAGCTGGGGCTCCGTCAGCCCTTGGCCATCGTCCAGCAGCAGAGGAATGTGCTCACTCGAGGCCGACGCCATCTGCAGTGGACAGACAGACGCACACAGACGCCACTCGTCAGAGGCCTCCGCTGGCCACTGTGCCACAAGGGCATTGCAGGGTGACCTTGGGATGGTCTGTCTGTGTGTGGTGGATCATGGCCTGCTGTGCGGCAGCGTCGCCCTCGTCGACTCTCGGCAGCTGGATGTAGCACGTCTCATCAACACCACTGGGGCAGTCTCTCACACTGCCGCCGTCCTGGCCCTGCACACGGGGGCTGCGCTGCGTGTGCAGCAAACCCCACATCTTCGCCCCACGGGGTGCCCTGGCGCGAGACGCCCAGCCCACAATTGCCGCCCCCTGCTCGATGTGCCGATTTCGCAAGTCTCCTCGCGATATGTCTCTTCTCTTTCGATCTGCCTGCCTGAATGGCCACATTGCTGAATACACCTTAAGAGCGCAACCCCTCAAGCTCACAGATACAGTGTCATCAGATCCTCGGTCCTCAGTCAGTCAGCTCATGAATGGCTATCTACTGTATGTCTGTCATATACGGACGAATGAACAACAGTGGCTGTGCGTGAGTGGAAGATCACACACTCAAGACCCATAGGTTAGTCAGTCAGTCAGTCTCGCAACTTGAGACACAGCACACTCGGCACACGCGACTCAGGCCGCCCTCCTGAGCCCATCACCACAGCCACCTGGTGCCCTTGCTGGTTGAGCACCAATGCCACAAATCTGCAAAGAGGCAGACAGACATTGTCGGTGTACGTATTCAGACACGCTGCGGTGTACCTCACCCGGTCCGCAGCGTCTGACGGTTTGATGGTGGTGACACTGGTGAGTATGTCGCTGCCGTGTTGCTCGGGCCCGACCCTAGCGACCGATAAGACAAACAGCCGCACAGCGGCGATGCGATACGAGAGTGCGTCCATCTTATCCTGAGGAAGATCATGTGTTTGGCCAGTGTCTCGAGGCGAGCGAGAAAGCACCGCTCCGCATAGCACACACACCTGACATAATACCACACATAAGGACAGCACAAGAACCACATGTGTGTGTTCGAATAATGGCTGACGATCTCATGTCACGTGCATCATGCAAGGGGCCAGCGGGAGTGGGGAGTGAAGTCGATGAGGCCGATGCGGACCCAGCTTATGTATACACACGGATTCATGTTATTCCAGCAGTTGGTCTCACACACTCATTGACAGCCGCTGCACGCAACACATATCCCCATCCATCCATCCGTCCATTTATCCTTTAGTGTCTATCCACAATCAACAACAGAGATTCGATCGGCTGTTTTCCCCTCCGCCCCGCCCGCAGCCACCAATGCCCCAACAGCAGTCAGGCTGCCGATGTCTACGGCTACCTGAAACCGCACACACAAACATAACAGACGACCAAGTAGATGCACACACGTGCCCTCTCTGTCCGCCCTGTTCGTTCCCTTTCACCAGCTGTGGTATCGTCTACGTGCGCGTCTCGACGGTGATGGTGACCTCCTCCATGGTGATGGTGTATGGTGTGTCCAGCAGGTTGAACCATGCGAGCTGCGACTGGAACAGCCGCCTCATATGGCCAAGGTCGTGAAGACTCAGGAAGACAATGGACGCCTTGCTCACACCGGGTCGCGACATGATGCCGACGAGCGACGCCATCACCGAGCCGTACAAGGCCTCCATCGAGTCGTCCTCTTCTAGCCCGTCTGCACACAGCAGCCAACACACATAAAGCTTGTGATGTGTGTGCTGCTCAGGTGGGCTGTCTACCTCGTGTGGCCCTGCTTACCCACTGTGCTTACCCATCACAAAGACGGTGACCTCGTCGATGGCCGGCAGGTCGTGGCTCGCCCACTTCTGCAGCGGCCGGCTGTGGTGCAAGATGCCATTCGCCGACACCTCAATCTGCACTGACAGGCTCCGCTCCGTCGCCCCCTCGGTGCTATCGCCCCCCTCCCCGGCCCCCGGCCCCTTCCCTGTGGCCATGTGCCTCTTGAGTGACTCCAGGAAGGCCACAGCATTCTTCGGCGCTTCCTGGTGCGCCTCGAGATTATCCACGAATTCGATGGTGTTGCACTGGGGCATGTTGGCGACCGTCTTGGCCAAGCCGCTCCGCACCCGCGGCGGCAGCTGTCCCGCATTGCAGCGGAATGTGGTGGCGCGGGGGAAATATGCGGCCGCGTGTCCGGCGGCGTTGGGGTCGGTGAGCTCGTTCTTGTAGAAGACCACATCGGTGACAGCGGCAAACTCTCGAACGAGCTTCTGCACCTGCAGGCACACAGACAGACCGCATTGGGGATAATTGTGCCTGAAGGTGTTGAGGCGCAGCAGCCCGTGGTGTCTTGGCTACCTGAGGCGCTTCTTCGGCCATCCACTCGATGAGCTCCAGCTCCATCTCGAGATTGTCTGCCTTCTTGACCACCTGCGGCTGGCTGAGGGCCTCCGGCTGCAGCACTGCCGCCGACAGCGACGGCACCTCCCGCAGCAGCCCCTTGTGCTCAGCCGTGATCTCGGTGGCCTCAATGGGCAGCTCGCGGAGGGACATGTGACATCCCCGCGCCACAAGGGCCTGCCGCAGGTCGGCCACCCGACCTGGATTGATGGTGCCGACGGTGTCCAGGTTGAGGGTGCCCATGGACCGCAGGCGGACGAGGGAGGTGCCGGGGGGCGGCATGGTCAGCAGCTCTGTCGTGATCTCGAAGATGCTTCCGTCGTCAAACACCTCCAAATGCTCGCACGACGCCATCCACTTTGCCATCACGGCCTCAGCATCGCACTCGTCCTGCTTGAGCGTCATGACCCGCATGGATGGCGTCTGCCACACGCGGTCGCCCATGCGGACGGCCGCACAGGCGTATGGCATGTCGTGCACCTCCTCGAGGACCGACAGGTCGACGGGCAAGGGGGACGGGGGCAGGGGGGCGGACGAGACGTCCTCACCCTCATCGTATGGTTCTCCGTCGCTGTCCTCCTCGAAGCTGAGCACCTTGATGGATGACGCCGCGGATGGCCTGTCCGGCCCTCTGGCTGCTGCCGCTGCCCCGCACTGCCCCTCCCTCTCGCGGCTCATGGCCTTCCTGGCCGCTGCATTGCCGTCGATCAGCGCCACCCAGGTCCCACGGCACCAGCGGCTGGCTTGGTTCTTGTAGATGACGTGCAGGTGTGTGAGGTTGGTGGCCCGCTGGCCCCACCGGTGTGCCACCTCCAGGGGCATTCGCTCCCACTGCTGGCGCACGCCGCCCTTGTCCGAGCCGTCGATGGTCAGGTGGGTGTATCGCTTGGCCGCCCAGCCGAAGACCGTCTTGCCGATCGTGGTGGCGACGCGCGTCAGCTCTGAGGGCTGGTAGAAGCCGAACACACACGCCAGCTCATCGGGGGAGAGGCGAAGGGACGGCTGTACAAGACACACATTCACACACAGAGGTCGACAGGGTCGTGCACGTATGGGCGGTCTTTGTTGTCTTGCTTTTACCGGTCCACTGTTCGGCGGCGGTTTCCCCGACGTGTGGACCAGGCGAAACGATGGCGTCGGGGCGGCCTCCTCCTCCTCTACCACAGCACTACTCTGCACCAGCCAGCAACACAGCAACAGCACAGAAATGAACAGATGCCACCCCGCATTCATCCCTCCCTCCGGACCTCAGCATTGGGCTCTTCGGGCGGCGCTTCCATGGCCACAGCAGCAGCAGCAGCAGCAGCAGCGGACGCACTGACGTCGTCCATTGGCTGCGGGAGGGCTATGGCCGCCGTTGCGGTGAGGGAGTCCATTGCACCGGCCATCGAGGCCTCAGCAACGGACACTTGTGACACCACAGACGAGAGCAACGCCTCGGCCACCCCGCCGCCATCTCGCTGGCACGCCTCACGGCTCTGCTGTGCGTCCCTCTGCAGCCTCTGGAGGCCCTCGCGCAACAAACTAGCGTCAGTACACAACTGCATCAAACAACGCACACCACAGCACACCAGCAAACCTGTTGATCACTCATGGGGTCATATTCCGACCCAGATCTCTCTTACTTACCTTGCTAATCATGGTGCCCGATGGTGTGGTCTGGGCCGACTGATCATCCTCTGCCTGAGGCATCCATAAGTACATCGCATCCGATGCCATGCCGACGTCATACGGCGGAAAGGGCATCAATTCAGTCATCCATACATCCATCCCGCGCTCCTGAACCCAAGCTGTGTCGTCCTGCAACGACACCTCTGCCGCGGGCCCCGCTGTGAACATCCACGTCCGTCCCTTCCCACGCGTCCTGCAAGCTCAGACTTTTGAAGAAGGGAGGCACGGAGGAGATCTTGGCATCATCTGACGCCCTGATGTCATCAGGTGAGGCAAGGGTGTGACACAGCAGTCAACAAGAACAAGATCTATTCATCCCGTTTGTCTGTGTGACATTCAGGTGCTCACCACAGAGAGGTCTGAGAGATCTGTTGAGCAGCGACGATGGACGCCGACTTGGCCGCTCGCAAGTTCAGCGCCATTGCGATTCTCGATAGGCTGCACGTGCCTGTCACCGCCATCGGCGACGCCATCGGCCAGCTGCATGCCCAGATCCGCCAAGCCGACGATGCCGCCCATCGAGAGAGGCAGAAACACGGCGCCTCCGACCCGTCAAGCGCATCGCCCGATGACGAGCTGACACTGAGTGTGGGCGGCGTCGAGTGTCATGTGAGCCGCAAGCACATGACGGAGGGCGACAGCGTGGAGGGCACTCTGCTGGCGGCGCTGTTCTCGGGCTGCTGGGACGGCCGGCTGAGGAAGGACGACAAGCAGAGGATCTTCGTGGACGTTTGCCCAGAGGCCTTTAAGGCCATCCACAAGGCAATCCTCGACGCCGTGACGCTTCGCAGCGCAGGCAGGGCGGCGTCGGTCGGCCACCTGCTGCATGAGGCCACCAAGCGGGACTACAGAGGTGAGCAGAGGCGCCGCGAGGTCAGCTACGCTTCTATTGGGCTGTGTGGTGCAGGTTTGCATGACTTCTGGGTCAAGCTGCTGCTGTCGCCGCTCGACAAAGCGGCCTCAGACGCCCCTCCGACTGCCGATGGCGAGCCCAACATATCGGCCGAGAGCCTTCCCGCCCACAGTGGGTCCCTGGTCAGCGCCGTGGAGGCCATCGTGAGGGCAGCCAACACAGAGACGGCCCGGCTGGAGGGGCAGCTGGAGGCCGCCAAGCGACGATACACAAACCTCGACAACGAGATCAAGGTGACACACAGGATGGGGGGAGAGAGGGGAGCTGTTCATCTGTTGCGCCCTGTTTGTGTGTCTGTGTGCGACCAGGCCGTCACGCCATTCCTGGCGCCTCTGAGTGGCGAGGATCCCATTCGGTCAGTGAGGGTCTGCGGCCACGCCATCGCCACCACACAGTCCACCGTCGACGAAATGAACGACAAGCTCAATAACCGCTTCGATATGTCAGCCACACATGAACAGCCTGACAATGACAGAGATACCCACCGATGGCTGCCTGTGTGTGCGTGTGTGTGCCTTTGTGTGTAGGTGGCCTCGGCCCGTCGAGGTGGTGCAGCCCGACCACATCGGCCGTATGGTCGACCACTACCGCCGCAAACGGCTCGGCGCGTCGGCGGCCGACATGGCTGTGGTGCTGACAATGGCCAGTGAGACTGAGCAGGTAGCCTTCAACATCAACGCGGCCATGTACGGCGTCGAGACAGACATAGTCATCTCAGACACCAGGTGTGCAGTTCGAGGGCAGCAACAGGCCGGGCTGGTGTCGCCATCTGTCGTCCTGTTTACCATTGCAGTGGCGATGGCCTCACGCAGCGGATGTTTGTTCGGTTGCCGTCGGGTGTCTTCCATCAAGTCGTGCAGCATGGCAGTGGACCAAAACCGACCCGTGGCCAGCGCGTCAAGTATGACTTCATCCAGTGGCGTGACGACTTCGACGGACAAGACAAGATAGGCGAGGACCGTGGGCGGGTCTTATGTGTGTCTGGGTTTGCTGAGTGGTGGCAGGAGGTCGTCACTGACATGCGTGTGGGTGAGGTGCGGCGGGTCATCAAGCCGGGCAGACTCAGCTCCACTGGAAAGGACCTGTACATCGAGTACAGGCTCTTAGCCATCCTGTGAGTGTTCGTCGGGGACGGGCGGTCAGTGCCGTGTGCGTGTGGCGGTGTGTCCCTTCGTACGTTTTTGCATGCTGACGGACTGCTTAGTGATGTGTGTTGGGTACCTTTGGCGTGAAGGGCATTTCTCTGTGTGCCTGAGATGTGTGGCGAGCAAGTGATGAGACCTGTTTTATTGCAAGCGCACGATGACCGGTGCAGATGCCTTTTATCCAATGGTGTGTGGTGGGAGAAACCATTGATGGATGGACACTTGACTGAGAGCGTCAGCCCCACCGCATCAGACCCAGAGAGCAAGACAGATGCAAACACATACGATGTACATTGACTGTTCGGAGTCAACTTCACACCCTAACACACCACATCCCTTGCCGCCTTCACACACGACCTAGTCAATCACAGAGCACCTTTTCGGCGCCATTCATATTCATAGTCATAAACCTGCTGCTGGTCGGAAGGATTGTTTACGGCAGACAAGTGTGTCGACGGAATCAGAAAGTGTCGCCACACACACTCTCAAGCAAGCGGCAGAGCCCTCACACATCCAAACTGACTCCAAATGACTGCCCTTCCATCTACAAAAACCGCGTCGTACAGTCAGACAGGCAGACAATCCTCCACGCCAGCCAGGCATCTATGTGCTGGCTTCTGCATGCAGCAAGAGCACTCCTTTGCCCTTCGTCGATCGGATGAGCCACTGAGAGACAGCAAAACACAGTAAATCTCCCTCACTCCACACACATACATACATCCACAACGCACCTCCGCCCTGTCAATCACCTACAGAGCACCCTCTCGGAGCTCGTGCACGTGATGCCAAAGGAGGGCAGACCCCATCTTAAGCCATGCCGATAAGTCGCATGACAAACACGAGGCTGTTGAGGAAATCGACGCGTCTGCCGTGGATGAAGCCAGCGATGAAGCCTTGATCCTTCGTGATGAGGTCGGCTGTCGGCCGTGAGGGGATCATGCCGGGGTAGGTGATCACGGCCTTCTGGATCGACGGCCGCGACAGCATCCGGTCGGCGAATGCTGCCACATGGGGCAGGTCCTGCCACATCCAGCTGTTGCCCAGCAGCAGCAGGCGGTGCAGATTGACGGCTTGGAACAGATCTGCCGCAGTGATGCTGTCGCCGGAGACATAGCTGCTGCCGCCATCTGCGTCGTGTGCCGCCAGGTCGGCTTCCAGCTCCTTGAGCACACTCATCGTCTTGTCCACAGCTGCTGTGAGGTATGTCGGCTTGGACGGCGCGGCCAGCCCCTTCTTGGTCTTGTTGACCTTGGCCTTGTAGGCCCTTTCCAGCAGTGGGTCATCCCATGTCTTGCCCTTCTCGGCGAGGCGCTTCTTGAGTGCGGCGATCTGCCCGGAGTGTGCCTTGCCGATCATGACCTTGGCGAACCAGGGGCGGTTGTCGTGCACGGAATTGCCTTCATACAGCAGCGCGGGGTGGGGCACTTCGTCCACCAGCTTGATGTGCTTCTCTATAATCGCCGCCTTGTGTGGGTCGGCCGGCAGGAGGCCGGTGCCGGCCATCAGGTGCTCGCAGATGGCCGATGAGTCGATGACGATCTTGGGTTCGCCGTCGCCCCTCATATCCACTAAGGTGGGCACCACGCAGCAGTCCACGCCGTTGGCCGCCACGCTGCTGCTGCCCGTCCACTCATAGTCGCTCTCGCCGGCCATGGGAAGGCCACTCTGCTGCCAAGCCGCCACACGCAGGGCCACATACGCTGGGTGATAGTTGTCGTGAGCCAGGATGTTGACTGCGTGGGAAGTGAAGGGCAGGTTGAGCTCGAAGAGCACCGTGCGACACTTCTCACTGCAGACCGACGTCGGCGAGTGAAAGAGCACCAGCTTGGAGGCCGCACTGGCGTCGCTGCCTGGCACCTCGGTTTGATGGCCGATGGCGGCTTGGGCGTCGGCCACCAGCTTCCTGACGTCGCTGTACATGCCAGAGCGGGGAGATCTGACACAATACAACAAACACAGCAGTTGATAAGTCTCATGAGTGTGTGCATTTCTCTCGTACCTTTCAGTGCCTCGGATGATCTGGTGCTTTTGGAGAGAGTTTTTCTCAGCTCGCCGCCAGTGGGCGTCTCAGCTCGCAGGTGAAACCTGCCGAGGGAAGAACAGGTGGGCAAAGGGTGACGGCAACCGCTGATCCGACGAGGTCCTTTCATATCTGTGTGTATTTCATGCAGGCCCCCTCCTCTGAAACCACCAGATCCCGCACACGGCCCACCGACAGACGGTCAGATGATTCAGATCAGACACAGGCACGGCACCGCTCTGAATCTGATTCATGTGGGATGTCGTGTCATCCTGCGGTGCGTGCAGGTCTCACTTTCTGATTGGTTGGCGGGATGCAGCGAATCGTCCATCGGGGCAGTGGCGGGCCGGGCCGGCCGCCCGTTGACACCGAGAGCCTCTCGGACGCAAGGATGCCGTCGGGAGGCTGTCTGGCAGAGGTGACTGACCACACACCGATACAGAGGGGAAGACAGGTCAACGAACCATGGTTGTGTGTTTGTTTTGTGCAGGAGCCCGACAGGCGGTCTCGGGCGGTTGGTCTGCTGGACGGCTGCCCAGTGTATGCTGACGGCCATGGAGGATATGCCACAGTAGTAGACGGCGAACTGCGCTCCCTGCCGGCCTCTGCGAAAGACAAGATCATCGTTTTTGCAGATACCCATAGGTGAGTTGGAGAGAGAGAGAGAGTACATGTGCTCACACTCTGTCACCTGCGTCTGTTCTATCACAGCAACGGTACAACTTTGAAGCGTCAGGAGGCGAGCTCATCAACCACAATGGGTCATCGCAGCGCCAATGTGGTGATTCAGGCAGTCTTGGAAGCGATTGATCGATCGATGTAGAGGATGTGTCTCATTTGCGATGCTCTGCCCCTTGTTGCCTGCCTACGGTGGTCTGTCAGGAACAGTCGCATGTTAGAGCGGCTTGCGCTACAGCATCCAAGCTAGATGAGATGGACATTGACAACATCCAACTGCCAAACGCAATCATGGCCAACCTCAGAAGCCTCACAGGTACCGACCAGCAGCAAAAGAGAGACACACAAATGCTTTCCTCTGCATGAACGTCTCTGCCACACAGGAGACCTTGACCGAGACTTTCCCATCATTGAGTCGGCTCTCAAGAAGATCATCGAGGCCTCGACGAATGGCCCAAAAGCTGAAGGTGCGAGGCGTCTCACGAAGACGCCTGTTTGCTAACATCATGTCTTGTGCTCTCTATGACCAGAGCTGGGCGTGTGTTTTCCCGCAATCGCTGAAGTGGCGCGAAAATATGGTGTGGTGAGCGGTCGAGTGGTCCATCTATGCCTACTTGCGATCGCCAAGTACGTGAGCATGGCATCAGTTAGACAGACAGGAGGTCACGTCTGTCTGTCTGTCTGTCCGTCGGCTCAGAATGTGCTTCAAGAGTAGGGCGAATCGCCGGCACGTGACCCGAGTGAGTTTTCGAAAAGATCTGAGCTTCATGCTGGAGCTAGTGGGGTTCCACAAGCATGACCCGAAGGTCCAACAGAGCTTGTCAAAGCTGCTGTCCATCATCGGGCTTGAGGAGGACGGCGTCCAGAGCCTCGACAACAAGCTGGCTCTCGGTAACGAGACGTACATGTTGCGCCTGCCTGATCAATTGCACCCAATCACACTGAGTTTCTTTCCTGTCTCACCCTTGACTGATAGGTCACATAATGGAGGCCATGCGTGTGCATCAGAACGACAAGGACGTCTTTGGGTTGGGCTGCCATGCGATTGCAGCCATCTCGGCCAATGATTCGACTCTGCGTGCCAAGCTGCTGAAGGACGACGGGCTGGTCAGGGTCCTCACTGGGCTGAGGAGATTTGTCGAGGACGGCAAGGTGTGCAACGCAGTCGCCCAACTCTTATACTGGTAGGTAGACTCACCTTGAGGCAGACAGACGGACAACACGGCCACTCATCCCTTATGCCGCCCTCGAGGCGCATCATATTATTGTGGGGTCGTGTCTCTGTGTGCACGCAGTTTGTGCATCAGGGTCGATCTTGGTCACCACAAAATCATCGAGAATGAGGTGAGGTCAGGAATGAGAGGCATGCAGTAGGTAGCCTTACTTATCCCTGCTTGAGACACTGACAGGGTATAGAGCTATTGATCTCGGCCATGGAGGAGCATCCCACACACACAGGCCTCATAAAGTGAGACGCGAAAAGCTGTGTGCACGATCGCATGTCTCTGCCTGCTTGTCTGTCTGTCTGTCTGTCTGTCTGTGTGTCTGTCTGTCTCTGTGCAGGTTTGTGGCACTAGTGCTCAGCCATCTGGCATTCATGAGCCCCAAGTGCAACCAATCCACGCAGGAGATCCTCACGAAGCGCGCCGGCGTAGAGAAAACGCTTGACGGAGCCCTCGCCACTATCACCACGGAGCACCAGGCCAACCGAGATCCCGTGGAGGAAGTCGGCTGGGATGAGGCCGAGAAAGCCGCTAGACGACTCAAGGACCTGTGTGTGGAGGCGAGGTCTCGCGATGCCGAGGGGCAGCGCGTAGCCTTTGAAGATTGCAGTGAAGAGTGAGGGTTGAGTTCGTTGGCATGGACTGCTGGGTCGACCAGTCACAAGTCGGTCGCTGTGTGTCCTTGACGTATGTGTTTGCATCTGTCTTGCTCTCTGGGTCTGATGCGGTGGGGGTCACGATCTCAGTCAAGCGTGTTGGCATCCGTGATGGTTTGTCACACCACACACCATTGGATAAAAGGCATCTGCACCGGTCATCGTGCGCTTGCAATAAAACAGGTCTCATCACTTGCTCGCCACACACATCAGGCACACAGAGAAATACCCTTCGCGCCAAAGGTACCCAACACACATCACTTAGCAGCCCCCGTAAGCATGCAAAAAACGTACAAAGGGACACACCGCCACACGTACACGGCACTGACCGCCCGTCCCCGACGAACACTCACAGGATGGCCTTCTTTCCAATGACGCACTAGGAGGCAGTGCTCACAGAATGGCCAAGAGACTATACTCCATGTACAGCTCCTTTCTGCTGTAACTCACTCCGGCCGGCACGATGACCCGCCGCACCTCCCCCACACGCATGTCAGTGAGGACCTTTTGGGCCCAATAATCAAACCCAGACACAAGATACTCCCGCCCACGGTCCTCGCATTTCTTGTCTTGTCCGTCGAAGTCATCACGCCACTGAAGCCAGTCGTACTTTGATCCTCTGGTCACGTGTCGGTTTGGGTCCGCCCCCTTGCTGCACGATCTTGTACCGCACTCTAGACGGCATCTGCGTGAAGACATCGCCACTTCAAAGGCAAACAAGACGACAGATGGCGACACCAGCCCGGCCTGTTGCTGCCCTCGATCTGTCCACCTGGTGTCTGAGATGACTATGTCTGTCTCGACGCCGTACATGGCCGCGTTGATGTTCAAGGCTGCCTGTTCTGTCGCACTGGCCATCGTCAGCGACGCAGCCATGTCGGCCGCCGACGCGCCGAGCCGTTTGCGGCGGTAGTGGTCGACCATATGGCCGATGTGGTCGGGCTGCACCACCTCGACGGGCCGCGGCCACCTACACACACACACACACGGGCAGCCATCGGTGTGCATCTCTGTCATTGTCAGGCTGTCCGTGTGTGGCTGACATGTCGAAGCGATGTTTGAGCTTGTCGTTCATTTCGTCGACGGTGGACTGTGTGGTGGCGATGGCGTGGCCGCAGACCCTCACTGACCGAATGGGATCCTCGCCACTCAGAGGTGCCAGGAATGGCGTGACGGCCTGGTCGCACACAGACACACAAACAGGGCGCACCAGATGAGTAGCTCCTCTCGTCCCATCGTGTGTGTCACCTTGATCTCGTTGTCGAGGTTTGTGTATCGTCGCCTCGCGGACGCCAGCAGCCCCTTCAGCCGGGCTCTCTCAGCGGCGAACGCCTTGACTATGGCTTCCACCGTCTTGACAGTGTCGTCACTCTCGGCGGGGCTGTCAGTGGCCGATATGGAGGGCTCGCCATCGGCCCTTGGAGGGGCGTCTGAGGCCGCTTTGTCGAGCGGCGACAGCAGCAGCTTGACCCAGAAGTCATGCGAACCTTCATCACACAGCCCAATAGAAGCGTAGCTGACCTCTGTGCCTCTGCTCACCTCTGTAGTCCCGCTTGGTGGCCTCACCCAGCAGGTGACCGACCGACACCGTCTTGCCCGCACTGCGAAGGGTGACGGCGTCGAGGATGGCCTTGTGGATGGCCTTGAAGGCCTCTGGGCAAACGTCCACGAACACTCTCTGCTTGTCGTCCTTCCTCAGCCGGCCGTCCCAGCAGCCCGAGAACAGCGCCGCCAGCAGAGTGCCCTCCACGCCGTCGCCCTCCGTCAGGTGCTTGCGGCTCACATGCCACTCGACGCCGCCCACACTCAACATCAGCTCGTCATCGGGCGATGCGCTTGACGGGTCGGAGGCGCCGTGTTTCTGCCTCTCTCGATGGGCGTCGTCGTCGGCTTGGCGGATCTGCCCATGCGGGTTGCCGATGGCGTCGCTGATGGCCGTCAATGGCCCCTGCAGCTGAAGCTGCATCGCCGGCACGCTGAAATCGCCATCCATCGTCACAGATGTGCCTGTGAACCACACAAGCATGATAGATCTGGCTCGATTTTGATTGCTGTCTCGCTCCTGCCTCACTTGTGTGACGCCCTCGACGCCGAGCTTTGCTTCGAAAGAAATCAAAGCACTATCAAAGCCCGCAAGGATTGTGAAAACTCCAGCTGCCGTTGTGAAAACTCCATTGAAAGCAGAAGAAAGAGGTAAGAGGAGAGCTGAGGAGTGACATACAGAGACTGTGATCAGGAAGATCTGATGAATTCATTCATCTGCCGTTTGTCGTCAGGTCTGCTGTCATGGAGCCCTTCACTCGCCATGAGGCCCTCTGCCGACTGGACAGGCAGATCCTCGGCCCAATGGAGAGCCTCGAGGCAGAGCGCGCAGAGATCGCATCGACTTACAACGTCGGCAGGCTGCTGAGCGACCACGGCGCGTCTGACGGCTCGGCGGCCTCTGGTGATGACCTGCTGCTGCTCAACGTCGGCGGGAGTGTGTGCTGTGTTCGTCGGAAGCACCTGACGAGCAGCAAGGGCTCCCTGCTGGCGGTGCTGCTCGGTGGCCGATGGGATGGGCGGCTGGGTCGTGATGCAGACAACCGCATCTTCATCGATGTGTGTCCGCGTGCGTTTGAGGCGATGCTCGAGGACCTGCTGGGCGGGGAGGACTCGGTTGACCACCTGGTGGACGATGCGAAGAAGCGCAACTATCAAGGTCATGAAGCGCGAAGCAACCACTCATGGTCTCCTGCATTTGTGTGTGTATGTGTGTGTATGTGTGTGTGTGTGTATTGCGCCCAGGTCTTCATGACTTTTGGACGGCACTGCTCCTGTCGCCCATCGACAAGTCGCCCACTGACGCATCTGCAGCCACACCAAAGAACTCCAAAGAGCCGACCCTGCCGTCACAGGGGGTGCTGCCAGAACTGAGAGGGGTCGTGGCCGAGGTGGAGAAGTTCATCAAGACCTTCACAGCAAAGAAGAAGGAGCTCGACAGGGACCGGGCGGCCAAGAAGGCGGTATACGACCAGGCGATGATCGAAATCAAGGTGAGTAAGAGAAATCAGGACAACCGAAGCACTGCAGGCTGTCCATGAGTGCGTCTGTCTGTCTGTCTGTTGGTCTGCACATCAGGCCGTCACGCCCTTCCTGGCGCCTCTGAGTGGCGGCGATCCCATCCGGTCGGTCGATGTGTGCGGAATGTTCGTCTCGACGGTGCAGTACACTCTAGACCAGATGGGCGACATCGGGCTGCGCAACCGATTCGATATGTGAGCATCAGGAGAGCACACAACAACACGGGCATATGGTATGTGTGTTGTCGTCGATCAGGTGGCCGTCTCCCGTTGAGGATGTGCCTGTCGACCACGTCCGCCGTCTGGTGGACTACTACCGCCGCAAACGACACGCTGCCTCACTCACCGACACACAGCTGCTGATTGGTGAGGGTGTCAAGGCGCCACTCCAGCTGGACGGCGTGGCCAAGCAGGAGTCCTTCAACAAGACGGCCGCCATGTACGGCATCGACACGCACAGGTGAGACGGAAGGGAGAAGTGATCGGCGACGTTATGATTGGCTCCCTCTCTTCCTCTTCGCAGCTCTCCGCATGGCCAGGGCAGCGGCGGTGATGTGTTCATTCGGTTGCCGTCTGGTGCGCACTTCCGAGTGGTGCAGCAGGGCAGTGGGCCCAAACCGACACGCAACCAGTGCGTCTGGTACGACTACATCCACTGGCGTGACGACTTTGACGGACGAGACAAGAAAGGCGAGAATCGTGGGTGGGAGGGTCGTGTGTCTGATCGGGAGAAGTGGTGGCAGGAGGTCTTCACTGACATGCGTGTGGGGGAGGTGCGGCGGGTCATCCTGCCGGCCACACTAGCCTTTTGGGGGGGGGCATACCGCGAGTATAGTCTCAAGGCCATCCTGTGAGTGTATGTCGGGGGCCTGTCATTTTTTGGCACACATGAGTTTTCTCATGGCCACCTGCTGCGGGACGGTGTCTCCGTTGTCATTCTCGTGTGCGTGCTGCGTGGCCTTCTCTTCTGCATGGACGTCTGATTCCCCTTTTATTCGTCATGCTGTGTTAATGTTATATATTGGGTCTCACGCGAATATAGAGACTTGGTGAGCTGATGTTCGTATTAATCACGCTGATCTGACATATAATAGTACCGTCTACGTGTGCACCCATGAGATGCTGAACCCAGTCAGTTAACAACACAGAGAGGTTTGTCAAGAAAAAGCAGCCAGCTGTGTCTAGCTGGCCAGGCCAGAACACCTACAGACATTGCTCTGCGCACCACTCTGCCCACCACCCCACATGAACGCCAGCGCACGGCTCTCAGAGTGACTCTGACTCACCGGATGTCCAGCTGTCACGATGCATGTATGGTCTTCGGCTGGCTGACTCGTCAGTGTGTGGTGTGACGCACCCGTTCATCGATTGATTGAAATCATCAAAATCCTCGCCATGCATCTCCCCACTATGCACACATGCACTCAATAAACGGAAACTCACTGACAGGTAGACAGTACTGCTGGATGACCGAACCAGCCGGCTTCTCAGTCATTGTAGCGGCACCTCCATCGGTCGCCAAAAGATAAAGCGACTACACCACAGCCAATGCACTGATGCATGGATTATGGATGTTTTTTGTGGATGTACGCAGCAGCCAAGGCGCGCACACACCATACCGCCATAGACACGACCAACCAGCTGGCTACAAAAATCCGAAACGACAGCTGGATGCATGGTGCCTCACCGCCACAGACGCACACGGAGCACACCAGGAGACAGTGCTCACAGGATGGCCACCAGCCTATACTCTTTGTACACCTCCTTTCCAGTGGAGCTGAGTCTGGCCGGCTTGATGACCCGCCGCACCTCACCCACACGCATGTCAGTGAAGACCTCCTGCCACCACTCAGGTTGTCCAGACACACATAACACCAGCCCACGGCCCTCCCCTGTCGCGTCTTGTCCGTCGAAGTCGTCACGCCACCCCATGTAGTCGTACCTGACGCGCTGGTCACTTGTCGGTTTGGGCCCACTGCCATGCTGCACCACTTGATAGAACACACCCGACGGCGACCGAGTAAACACATCACCGCCGCCCTGGCCGGCTGTGGTTGGTGAAGACACCTCCTGGCGCCGCAGTGTGGCACCATTGCCATTGGGCACACCCATACTGATCAGCAGACCCCCACCCATCCCAATGAACGATGAATGCGCCTTGTCTACTGGTGTATTGCACGCCGCTCACTTGTCGCTGGGCAGTACTCCGCGTGGCAGCAGTGACTTGCGGCCATTCCTGTCCTTGGTGTAGAAGCTGGACACACATCAGAGCATTGTGACACACGTGTGGCGACTTTCTATGCGACTGGCTCATCCCTAATTGACGCTGGTGCGGCAGAGGTCGATGGGCAGATAGATGCGCTCCTTGTCGCGGTCTGGCACAAGCGCGTTCAGCTCGTAGAAGTGCTCGCCGGGGCGGGACAAGTCCTCCAGCACGTTGCGGCCGCACTTGAAGATGCCCACGTCAACCACTCCGTCAGTCATGGCCTCTTCAAGTCACAGACAGGAATACGCAGCAAGACACCACTGAGTGTCTTTCTTCTGGCCGGGCTGCAGCCTCATGGCGTGCCTGTGCGTCGCTGGCCGGTCTACGCGGCTTGTTTGGTTGGCGCTGATGCTGACGGATGGATGGATGACGGTGGTGCCCTGCCGGCCTGACCAACACAGGGGACACACACATTCATCGATGAAGATCTCACTCAGATCTACTTCTTCGTCGGCTGATCTGAGGCTCTCTGACCACCTGATGCTTGGGATGCCTCCAGCTCCGAAGGGGAAGGGGGAGGCCTCTGCGAGCTTGCCATCGGGCACTGCAGAGTTTGGGTCATGAATTCGACGTTCGTCGGTGGGAGCTCGGTAGGACCAGACACCCCCCGACGAACGTCGAATTCATCACCCACACTCTGCAGTGCCATCGAGTGCGACCTTGTGGCAAGGGGACGAGAGGGTGAGCCCCCAGGGGAATTCCCTGCAGTCCAAACTTGATAGATCTGCCTGTTCGTTTGTTGCAGATGTGCGAGATGGGCGATTTCACCGCCTTCAGTGTGGTGCTGATGTCCGTCGGTGGGCATTCAATTCGTCCGCCCTCTGCCCTTTTCTCATTGTGTGTGCTGCGCTGTGTGTTGTGCTGGATCAGCTGAGACTCCCTACGAGAGAAGGGTGCTCCCGGCGACGGAAACACTGAAGCGACCTGCAAGGTGCGCAGGTGCACACTCGCCCTCCAGCGGAGGATGCCGGTATGACACAGAGAGGACATCCGCCCTGAGGACATGAATGCGGCCGGCTCCCTCCCGTGTTGTTGACGGCAATGTGATTGAAGCTGAGACGGAAGTGACGGCTGACGGCAACCCACTTGACGACGGCGTCTGATGTTTGTGTGCATGTGTGTCGATAGTGGTGGTTGATGGGGTGCTGTGGACGTGACCGTCGGGCTGAGGTTGGTGTGCATATGTGGGATGTGGGAGGGGTGCATGAGTGAATGAGTGGCTACACTGATGTATGTGAGTCTGCACGGTCCTACGGCAGTTTTGCTGGCACCAGATCGCTTCGCTCAAAGTGTGTTCAGCAACACGGGCCACAGACAGAGGTGCAGAGAAAGAGACAGAGAGGAAAGGCCTTTGTATCTGTCTGTCTTGTCTGCCTGTGTTGCCTGTGTCTCGAATCCACTCCAGTCCCTCTTTTGTGTTGCCGTGTGTGGTGGTGGGTGGCGTGTCGGATGGCGAAGTGTCAGCCAGTCAGACGCACTGATGGGCTGGTGCTTTGCCCTCGGGTATGCGACGCATCACACATGGGGGCGACATGAGTGACACGGGGAGGCGGCTGTCACGATGCTGCACAACTTGTGTTGATTTGATTCGCTATGGTTGCGTGTCGTTGATGTCTGCTCTGATGTCACTCGTGTGTCGGTGGGCGTCCCATCTCGAACCTGGTGCTCACTTTATCGGCCGCGTCAAGCTGTACAGGATTACATGTTTGTGCATCTAGCTATGAGTTACAGGCCTTGTCTCGAGTGGGTGCAGGGGTGCCACATGGATGTGACGAACGTTTGATCGTTCGTTCGTTTCCTTTTGGTTGTGTGTGGTGCGGTGTGGCTGACTCGGCTCTTTTACAACATCTAACACGACAAAAGTGTGACCCTTCACTGTGAAGGCGAAATCCATACCATGCCGGCGCCACGCACGCGACACACGCGCACAGACACAGAGACAGACGTACAAGTGGCTGGCTGTGTGTCTGGAGGGGAGGCACCTGGCTGGCGTCCCTCGGCCAATACTGCAGCAGTGAGTCAGCCAACCGTCCATCCAGGGCCATTATACACACATACACACACTCAGACCGACTGATTCATAGCAGAATGAATATACACAGACAGAAAGACCAACACACGGACTGACTGACTCACACAGACAGCGCTACCCGTGGTGGTATGGTGACCCTCACCTCACCCTCTCCCCTCCCCTCTTCGCCCCGACTAACCAAATCACCCACCCCACCCCACCCCACCGACACAGACATACACAGACACAAACTCCACGGCGGCGACCGAGTAAGAGGAAAGAAAAAATAAATAACGCAGAGGAAAAACGGCCATGTGCGTACACATAGGTGTGTGTGTGGAAAAGCCGTGTGCGCCGTGTGGACGATGGATGGTGTCCGGGAAGAGAACACACAACCAGTGTTTACAGATGCTGTGTGTGTGTGTGTGTGTGGGCTGAGCTAGCTCAGCTGCCGCTGGTGGAGAAGAAGTATGGCCGGAGTGCGAGGAAGGTGTCGAGTGCGCTGATGAGCGACAGGAACGGGATGCGCTTGATCACATGGTCCAGCTGCACACCTGCATAAACAACAACAACAACAACAACAGCCCAGGCACAAGAGTCCAATAGTGGTGACGACCGCCGCGCAGAGTCTGTTTATTTGCTGACATGGTGCTTCCAGGAACTTGTCGAAAAACGGCGACCGCACCAGCGCCAACGACAAGGCGCTACGCCTGACGCACACGCACACAGACACATGCACAATATGAGACACACGTGAAGACAGCTGTGGCTGGTGTGGATCTCGTGATGTGACATGGCTGACCTTCTCTGCAGCTCCGCCATTTCGAACGGCGTGAAGGAGCTCCACCGCCGCGCGTGGCCGTGCAGACACTGGGAACTCACCAAATCCATACCTGACGAGCAACAGACAGACACAGACAGACAGACACCCCCATAGATACACAAAGACGACAGAGGCCATCGGTGGTCTGATGTGTCTCACGCACCCAGAGCGATGACCCATGGCATCCATCCGGGTTTGTCGCCGCCCTGGCTGAGCAGAAAGGAGTGGAGCAGCGGCCGCAGATGGAACAGGGCCTCACCCAACACTAACCCACGGCTGTAGTAAGGCAAGGCAGCAACGGACACACACACACAAAAGGGAGAAGAAATGCAATGCATCTGGAACCATTGGATGTCTCTGCACTCACCGCGACGGATCGGCTGCATGTCTGGCCATGTCCTTGATCGCCATCCACTGGTCAAACAACACTTTCAGGTCCGCCTCGCTCACAAAATACCGCCCTCGCCGCCCAAATGCCTCATCTCCCACGTCCACATGGTCACCGTCTTCACCCTCTCCACCACCGGCAGCACACGCAGCACACGGGCACTCGCGATACGACGACGACGTCAGAGAGGCATCCCTCCCACGCACACCGACAGGGACGAACTTGCCCTTCCTGTCGCCGTCGTGTGTTGGGCTGCTGGGCGGCGGCAGCACGTCGGGCGACTGGGAGGGCGACGCATTGGTGCTGCTCGACGGCTCGCTGTCCTGCTTGTGCGTTGCCCCTGGTGCCGCTGTGGCGCTGTCTGTCGACGCGGTAGTGGTGCTGCTCGCCATGCTGCTGGTCTCGCCCTCGCCCTCGTGAGTGCCGACGCCCTCTCTCGCCGCGCCCTGCTGATGCGCATGTGACTGCCCGGCGGGCCCGTCCGCATCGACAGAGCTGAGGATCGTCTGCTGCCAATCTGGCAGGGGGGCTGGTGGCGGTGCCGCTGATGGTGCGGGAGGAGGGAGGGTGGTGAGCTCGCGGATGGTGCGGCCCGTGCGCCGGCCGACCCACGGGAGGCGCGAGGCCGGATGTGCCGGGGCCGATGGTGATGCCGACTGGTGTTGCGAGTGTGGTTCGAGCTGGTGGTGCGCAGCGGTGCTGGTTGACCAGAGGCACTCCTCGTCGACATAGAGCCCGAAGGGCGACAGCTGCTGGATGGCCACACGAAGCACCAGCCTGGTTGGTGAGGATGAAGGAACGGACAGAAAAGCAGATAGATGTGTGCATGGTGGGTGTTTGGTGGTATCTCTCTGTCTGTCTGCCTCTTACTTGACGCATTCGATTTTGAAGCAGAGCCTCATGGAGGCCCTGAACCCGTGTCGTCTGCTCTCCCACATCTCGAGCAGCACCTGGATGCACCGCAGGCTGCGCAGCACCAGACTCAGCCACACATACGCAATCCTGCACACATACAACATACAACAGACACGCCAGGATGACTGCATCGCTCGGTGTGTTCCTCCTCTGGTCTCACTTTTGTTTGTTTGGGAGTCGGGCCAGCACGGGCAGGTCGGTTGCGGGCGCCTGCACGGACTCACGGTACAGCGAGAACAAATCAACCGCACTGTACGCTGCACAGAACCCACACACACATCAAACCAACACACAAGTGATAACACGAGCAGAAAGAACTGCCGCGCGGCCATTCCATTCCTGCCCTCACCGAGTTGTGCTCTGGTCTCGGTGGCTGGGTCAGCCTCCTCAACGGGCAGCAGATACAGCAGCAACCGACACCACTCCTCCTGCAATCACACGCACGCACACACACTCACAAGTTCCACGCAGGAAGCGGCTCTCGCGCGTCGGGGGATCCTCAGCGCTTACCAGCTGGCCTCCCCAGGTCTGCATGAAGGCCTTGTGGGCGGACCACAGGCTGCGTGGCGGCGATGCGACGGCTGGAGGAGATGACGCACGCTGCTCGTCCTCATCTTGTGAGCGGGGAGGGGCGCTTCTCGCCATTGGTCTTGACCGTGACACCCTGTGCTCCTCCATCGCCGCGTTGAGTGCCCTTTCTCACCTTCTCACCTTCAAGCTCGCAGTGCGATCACGTTCACAGGAAGGGGCTCGAATCCATCGCGAAGAAGCAATGTGTGTGTCCACAAGGTATCAGTGGATCATGTGTGTCAACGGGTGTTGCTCGTTCGCTGAATGGACGGAGTTGCACTCGCTTGGTATGTCTCATGGGTGACAGTGATGCGTTGAGTCGTCGATTCGTGTCTGTGTGTTACCCACTTGTACATTCCCCAGCCAAGACGAGAAATAGTAAGTGCATCCTACGTACGTACGTGTCCTTACCCATGCAGCCAGTGAACCGCACCCAATACCACCACCCAGCCCATCGCATTCCATGCCATTGCACTCTGTGGCCGACAAGTGTTAGTGTAGTTGTGTAGGAGCCCCGACCGACGAACGTGTATGTACGTACGTACGTAGGTACGCACGTAGACAGACAGGCCACGAGTGAGTGTCAGCCCGACTTGACGACCGAGCTGCCTACAATGAGGGATGAACAAAAAAGGCTCTCCATTCTCTCTTTCAGTCGTTCGTTCATGCATCCAGCATCACGATCGATCATCATCACGGTTAATACGTACGTGTGTACACATTGAGCTATGGTATGCAGGCAGCAGACAGGCAAGACGCTCGGCCAGCCGGTGATGGGATGGGCATGGGCGGATCGGCGGTGGGTGGTGGTGGGGATGCAATGTTTGTGAATGTGTGTGTCGGTCGAGCGAGAGAGACAGGAGATATGGCAGATCGATATGCACAATACAGGTAGGAAGGTCATTACAGCCACACACACACACACACACATCATGGCATCCATCCATCCATCGCATCCGTAGCTATGCACACTAATTATGTGCTCGAGTGAGTCGAGAGAGGAGGAGGAAAGCCGTCGAGCACACAACCGAAATGAGACAGAGCGAGAGAGGTCTTGACAAAGAAGTAGAGCGAGTATAGAGTGAGAGAGTGTCCACCCAGTCTATCCATCCATTCATCCATGTATTATGCAGCCATTCTCTCCTCTCCTCTCCCGACGCTCTCTCTGTCTTCGGTCGCTCACCGGCAGCAGCGAGATCGCCACGAGAGGAAAAATCCATGTCCACCGGTTTATATAAACCCGCCCAGCCCCCGTCAATGTGCACATCTGTCCGGCAGCAGATGTCCCGCTACTATAAAGCCCCCCGCGCCCACGTGATACGCGAAAGCACACAGACACACCAGCCACCAGCATGCCCAGGTAGGTGGGCTATGCATGTGAAAGCGAAGCGGCGGCCTGTCTGTCTGTCTGTCTGTCTTTCGCCATTGGATGAAGGGATGCATGGACAAACCTTCTTCAAATGCCACACGCCGTTCGCGACAGACAACCACACCTCGATGCCCCAGAAAGGGGTGCAATCGCGGGGGCGTCTGTGCGTGTGTATGTATGTATATATGTGTATATGTGTGCGGTCGCGTAGGTGACAACACACAACACAGCGGGTGAAGGTGTGAATCGATCAAAACCTCCTGCACCGAGACGAGCAGCCCAGCCGGAGCAGAAAGGAAGGAGAGATGATGAGAAGATGGAGAGGGAACCAGAGAGAGAGTAGGAAACGATTGATAGCTGATAGAGAGGAGAGACATGATGGACAGACACGCATATCAACACTTACACACCGACAAGCAGCCAGCAGCCAGCAGGCAGGCAGGCAGGCAGCCAGGCAGCCAGGCAGACAGCCAGCAGCGAGCGAATTGAGGCAGTCAATCAGTCAGCCATTCCAGCCAGACAGTCAATAACAAAAGGCCACACACATCCCTCCCCCCGTCAAATAAAAAACTCCCACATGAACGAACGAGTCCGACGGTTCGTCAATTCGTCCATGCAGCTCCGTCACCGAATCAACCAATCACCGCCCAGCACGACACCACAGCACACGACACGCAACGACGAGACAACAAAACCTGGTACAACACAGGCAACACAGCGATATAGCGACACAACAGCCCCTCTCTCCTCCCAGCCCGCAAGACATCAGCCACTCACCCACTCGTCAGTCACGCCATCCATCCGTCGAAGGCGATCAAAAAAGGGGGCGCCAGCCAAACCGGTCAGTCACATGCATCTGATGCGACGCCTGCCGCCGTGACGTGGCGTGAATTTGACGCGACGCACGTAGCATAGACAGCATAGAGAGGGAAGAGGCCATCCAGGCACAGACAGGCACATGCATCCAACGACAAGCCAGCCCATAGAAAAAAGGAAAAAGACACCAGCTGAGACAGACAGACAGTCCCGTGCGCTCAGGTCCATCGTCAGGCAGTCACAGCAGACCCATGACACGTTGCTTCGTTGATCCAGAATCTCGATCAACGCAGCGACATGCCACTTCCCTCCCGTAACTGCCCGCTCGATGAATGGGCGTCCAGCAAAACACTCGTACCGACAAGACAGACAGACAGACAGACATTCAGGCCGACTGACCGACAAACAGTCAGATAGAAACACTCACTCGGGCAGCCAGCCATTCACACACCAGCATCATTCGATCATTCACAACGAAATGTGCGCCGATGCGCACCCAAGCACCGAGCCCACCCCTCCATCCATCCATTCATCCGTCCGTCCATCCGTCCATCGACTGTCTGTATCTTCCTGTCTCTCCGCTCCCTCCGACACTCGCGCGACGCATGTGCGACACATCCATCCATCCAATCAGTCATGCGTGGCTTAAAAATGGCATGGCGTGACGAGCAAGACGGCACAGAGGGAGAAGAAGTGGAAATGGAAACGGAGGGCAATCGATCCATCAGCCCACCGACAGATAGCCCTCATCGGCAGGCCGGCAGGCCGGCTGGCTGGCAGGCAGGCGGCGCCCAGAGAGTGGGGAAAAAGCACTTAAAACCCCACAGAGCGGCGGTCAGCCAGCCAGGCGCCCACCTGGACAGCTACACACACAGACGCATCCACTGAGAGATATGCACACCCACATCCACACACGTACGCCACGCCCTCCGTCCGCAAGAAGCATCTACACACACGCACCCAGGCATCTACCGGCACGCATCACGCGGCCCTCGCTGGCCAGCCGTCGACGGCCGCGTGCCTACTACCAAAACGCCAGGTGGACGCGCCACCCAGCCGCTAGCAACACGTAGCAACGCTATGATGTGTGAGAGTGCGTCTGTGTGTGTCTAGGGGTCGCCGATGGGCGAGCTCGTCGACAAGGAAGCTGTCCCTTGCAAACCTGACCGGACACACAAACACACACGTTCTATCTCACTGTCTGCTTTGCGTGCGTGTCCGTGTGAGATCCATCCATACCGGAGAGGCATGACGCGGCGCCCTGGCAGCACAGCTCTGGCAGCCCAATGCAGCCGGGGATGAGGCGCGCGGCCTCGGTGTCTGAGTCGAAGTCCACCTGCAGCCGGCGGCGCTCCTTGGACGGGTAGGCGGTCTTCTCGAGCAAATCGCCGGTCGTGCCGTACAGAGATATCGAATCTGACCACCACCACACACAACACATGACAACATCACACATGAGCGTGGTGGTGCGGGCCGGGGGAAGGGGTACTCACCTTCAGTGGCGACGAGGTATCGTCCGCCGGCGACGTAGATGGTGAGTTTCTCGTTCGGCTTCTGCTCGATCCAGTCGACCCTGTAGATGGTGTCGGTGCCGTCCTGGAACTTGTAGCTGACCGTCATGAGGTCGTCGTACTGGCGAACCGGAATGTCCTTGCGGACCACGTCCCACAGCTGAACCGCCTGGGTGTTGGGCTGTGTGCCTGACACACACACACACACACACACATTCCCCAACTCTCTCCCTCTCTCTCTGTGTGCGGCGACTTACGGACGGGGACGCTGCTCTTGCCTACGGTTCTCATGAGGCCGTCATTTGCGATGGTCGACTGGCGCATGAGGCGGATGGACGCGATGACCAGGCCGAAGAGCACCAGGAGGGTCAGCACCCAGCCGATGGCCAGGCCGACCACAGACCATCGCAGGTGGCGGTTGGTCTTGCGGGACACCACCACCTGCACACAGCACACGAGCACACACACATGGGATGAATGAATAGAACCCCGGCCGCGCGTGCACTCCGAGTGACTACGTGGATGTGTCGGCACCTGTCGGGCTGCAGCGGCCACATCGCCGATATCGAATTTGCCGTCGCCGTCCTTGTCAAAACTCTGACAGGCAAAACACGGCAGCACAAGCAAAATGGATGGACCTGTCGCTGCGGCCCTGAGACACCTCCCAGCACCCTCCCTGCGCCTCTCTCTGCGTGTTGCGCATCACTCCACTCACCTTGAGTGTGTCGATGATCTCCTCGCAGAGTTTGTCGTCGCCGACGGCGTTGCGGAACGTCTCGGTGCGCGAGTGGGGCGGGGGCAGGTTCGACTTGATCTCGACCTTGGCGCACATCGCGTGGAGAGTGTGACTCTTTCAGTCAATATCAGAGGGGCGGGAGATAGGTGAGCAGCAACAGATCTGTCTATCTACTCGGGCAGGGACACGGGTCGCTGGGCTGCACACAGTGGCGACAGGACAAGATGCTCAATATCGGACAACGGAAGACTTTTCAGGATCCTCTCTTTCGTTTCGCGGGCAGTGACCCGCAAACCCTGCACCCAAACCCTGTGGGGTCACGCAACACCACAATGAACGGCATAAAGCCATCTGCCGACACGGACTCAACAGCGAGTCGCGAGTCGGGTGAGAAGGACAACGGCGAGATCGACGCCGCTGACCCGCCGGCCGCGATGGTCAAAGAGGAGACAGACCTTGACGGCAACGCGCAGGGGCAACCGCCGCAGGGACAGGCTGATGTTGACGGTGACGGTGATGGTGACGGCGATGGCGACGACGAGTTGGCGGAGAAGTACAAGGACAAGGGCAACGAGCTGTTCAAGCAGAACCACTTCATCCATGCAGAGGAGGAGTACTCCAGGGCCATCGACGCCTCCACGCCTACCAACCCAAACCTGCACATCTACTACTCAAACAGATCTTTCACACAGCTCCGGCTGGAGAACTACGGTCGGTCAACCAGCGCAGCGCACGTGTGCCACGTGTGGCGGTGGATCTGTCTGTCTCCCTCTCTCTGTATGTGTGTGCGTGTGTGTGTGTGTGGGCTTGTTGTGTGCAGGTTCGGCCATCATTGATGCGGAGAAGGCCATCGATTTGAAGGCCAACTTTACCAAGGCCTACTACCGCAGAGGATGCGCGTACATGTGCCTCCAGAAGTGGAAAGATGCTCTCAAAGGTACCTTCTTACCTCATCCTCTCCCTCCCTCCCTCCCTCCCTCCCTCACCGTGTGCTTCACCCGCACCATGGATTCATCCACTGGCTGTTTGTGTGTATAGATTTTCAAGCGGTGACCAAGATGGGGGGCGGTTTGGACGCCGATGCGGCCGCGCGGCTCAAGGAGTGCCAGAAGCAGGTCAGGGAACAGAAGTTCGCCGAGGCCATCAGCATCGGTGAGTAACACACCACACTCTACACACTCAGGCAGACACACACACACACAGGCAGACACGCATACATACACTGTTGCTGATGCTCTTGTACACGTGTGTGTGTGCTGTGGTGGTGGTTGTATGGCTGTCAGATCGGACCAAGCCGGCGTCTGAGACGGTTGACCCGATGTCGATTGAGGTGGACGCGTCGTACAAGGGCCCCCACTACAGGAGCGGCAGCATCGACAAGGAGTTTTTCCACCAGCTCACAGAATACATCAAGGTAGGTCTGCCCACCAACCGGAGCGACATAACCTCACCCACCTCTCTCTCTCTCGCTCTCTCTCTCTCTCTGTCTTTGCTGTGTGCAGACCCCCGGCAATGTGCTGCATCGGCGATACGCGTACATGATGGTGCTGGACATCATCAGGCTGCTCAGGACGGTACCCACACTCGTGAGGGTCGACCTGCAGCCACAGGAGGAATTCACCATCTGCGGCGATGTGCACGGCCAGGTCGGTGGCTGGGTGGGTGGATCACCACTCAGGCCGACAGACAGAGAGAGATCAGATAAGCGCCACAATCATCTGTCTGTGTGTGTGTGTTGTGCATGTGTGCAGTATTACGACATGTTGAACATTTTCAAGATCAACGGCCCGCCCAGTGAGACCAACCCCTACCTCTTCAACGGCGACTTCGTCGACAGGGGGTCCTTCTCTGTCGAGGTCAGTCAGTCAGTCACACACACACACACACGCGCACAATCGAGAGATGCAAAACACGACAACAACGCCCTTGTGGTTGTCTGTGTGCGTCGTGTGGTGTGTGCAGGTGATCCTGGCGCTGTTTGCAGGCAAGCTGTTGTACCCGAATCACTTCCACCTGGCCCGCGGCAACCACGAGGCCCAGAGCATGAACAGGATGTATGGCTTCCACGGTACGTACGTGCGTATGCAGCCGAGGGAGGGAGGGGAGGGGATGGCAGACAGATGCCCATCTCCGGGGATCTGTCATGTGTGTGTGGTGTGTTATGTGTGTGTGTGTGCAGGTGAGGTGATCAAGAAGTACGACGAGAAGCTGTATGACCTGTGCACTGAGGCCTTCAACCTGCTGCCGCTGGCGCACGTCATCAACAACAAGATACTCGTCGTCCACGGAGGTCAGCCAGCCACACACACACACACACACAGCCGAGCGCCCATCTTCCGGCAGGTCTGTTCAGCAAGGATGGCGTCAAGCTCTCCGACATCGCAAGCATCGACAGAAACCGAGAACCGCCAGACGAGGGTCTCCACCCCCACCACAACACATCCTGCAACACGACGCCACTCTCTCTCTGTGTGTGTGCGTGTGTGTGCAGGTCTGATGGTGGAGTTGCTGTGGTCGGATCCGCAGAAGCTGGATGGCCGGGCACCGTCGAAGCGCGGCGTGGGGGTTGCGTTTGGCCCGGACGTGACTGAGCGGTTCCTGAAGGAGAACAACCTGGACCTGCTGGTGCGCTCTCACGAGATGAAGGAGGAGGGCTACGAGGAGGAATGCAATGGCAAACTGGTACGCACAGAGGGAGGAAGGGAGAGGGAGAGAATGATGCAGCGATGTATCTTGTGTCGTGTGTGGTTTAGGTGACGGTGTTCAGCGCGCCCAACTACTGCGACCAGATGGGCAACAAGGGAGCCTTCATGAGGTGCGCCAACACACAACCAACCAACCAACCTACTTGAGAGAGAGTGTGTGGGTGTGTCTTTTCGCTCAGGATCAAGGGCAACAACCTGAAGCCCCGCTACACGCAGTTCGATGCGGTGGAGCACCCTCCAGTGCGGGCGATGGAGTACGCCACGCCCTTCCTCAACATGCTGGGCGGTGGGGGGGCCGGGGGCGGGGGCGGCATGATGAACATGCTCAGGAAGGGCGGATAGACAGACTGCCCGGCAAGCCAGCCAGACAGGCCGGCTGGGCGGGTGGGCGGCCATTGGGCTTTTCTCTCTTATCTTCGTGCCCTTCTTCATGATGCTGACATGGCCAATGGGTTTTTGTCACACGTGTGTGAGAGGTTTTCGTTGTGTGCCGCTTTTCTTCCTCTGTGTTGCTGCATGGTGTTCATTCATTTCTTGGATGGATACATAGCTCTCCAGCTCTCTAGCCGTATGTACAAATCAACCCCCCTCCCACCACTGCATGTCCTCCCTCCCTGCTGCTGTGCTTTTCGTGCTGCCGCTGCTGCTGGTGTGATCGATCCCACTGGCGGCCCTGTCTAAGGCGAGAAGGGCGTGCCGGTGGGGGGATTTTTGATCCGATGATGACTCTTGCAGAGCTCCGCTATGTGTCTGTGATTCGTGTCAGAGTGCACGTGTTGCCTTGCATGAGTGGCTGCTTGCGTGTGCGAGTGACTTCCCTTCCTGTTAACGAACAGAATTCGCTCATGTGTGTCGTCTTGTCGTCATGAATGTAAGCAAAGCAAAATTGGATACTTTGCTACACTATAGGACAGAGCAGGTTGACCGCACACCCAGCCAGCGCAATGCAGAGCAGCAAACCAAATTCCATAAGAGCAGTCGAGCAAATGACAAGGAGCCAAACGGCAAGAGATCATCACTCTGTTCCAATAACGCTCATCCTAACTGGCATCTCATCTCACCCACACTCGCATTAGTGATAATCTCCTGGAGCGCACACAAATTTCGTCCGCCCCTTAAGACGTAATGGACACCAACTTATACTCGATATACAGCTCATTTCTACCGGCTGGTGTGGCCGGCACGATGCATCGCCGCACCTCACCCACACGCATGTCAGTGAAGAGCTCCTGCCACCACTCAACAGCACTAGACACATGATACTCCCGCCCACGGTCCTCGCATATCTTGTCTTGTCCGTCGAAGTCGTCACGCCAATCGACGATGTCGTACTTGATCCTCTGGTCACGTGTCGGTTTGGGCCCACTGCCCTGCTGCACGATTTTGTACTGCACTCCATTCGACATCTGCGCGAAGCCAAAACTGAGCAGTGACAGACAACACAGTGAGTGAAGACACGAGTGCAGTGTGTTGTTGGTGTCTTACCGTCGCTGCTGCATGGATGGCACTTGCCCGAGGCCACCGCTGAACGATCAACAGTGCACACAATCATCACATGAGTGCCTGTGCTTCCTCGTCCTACTCACAATGTCTGATGTGCTTTGCTGGCTTTGGGGCTCTCGTCGGTGAGGCCATACATAAACGCATTGGCGTCGAAGGCATGCTGCTCTGTCGCACTGGCCATCGTCAGCACCGCAGCCATGTCGGCGGCCGACGCGCCGAGCCGTTTGCGGCGGTAGTGGTCGACCATACGGCTGACGTGTTCGGGCTGAACGTCCTCAACTGGTCGCGACCACCTACACACACATAAAGCACCAGTGGACCGTCGTGTATTGGGTATCTGCCTGGCGCTTACATGTCAAAGCGGTTCCGAAGTTTGTCGCTCATTTCGTCGACGGTCGATTGTGTGGTGGCGATGCTCTCTCCACAGACCTTCACGGAACGGATCGGATCTTCGCCATTCAGAGGCGCCAGGAATGGCGTGAGGGCCTGATCCACACACACACACAGACACATAGGCAGAGCATCGGAGGTATATGTAGCTCGTCCTCTTGCAGCTGCTTTCTGATCATCAGTCACCTTGATTTCGTTGCCGAGGTTCTCATACCGCCGTTTGGCGGCCGCCAGCTCACCCTCCAGCCGGGCCTTCTCAGCGGCGAACGCCTTGACGAAGGCATCGGCCGCCTTCACGAAGTCACTCAGCTCATTGGGGGTGTCATTGGCCGACAGCCGTGGATTAGTGACGTCACCAGTGGTCCCTGCAGCAGCCGAGTCGATTGGTGACAGCATCTTCTTGATCCAGAAATCGTGAAGCCCTGTTTGCACACACCCAGCACAGAGAGAGAGAGATGGACAAACGGACAAGCAGCCTCTCCCTCCCACTTTGCCCACTCACCAGTGAAGTTGCGTCTTCTTGCGTCTTCGAGCAGGTGGCTGATGGAGGCCTGGGTGTCGGCCGTCCGGTGGGTCGCACTGCGGATGGTCCGGGCATCCAAGATGGCGTTGTGAATGACCTTTAAGGCGGCGGAATCCATGTCGACGAACATCCGCTCTTTCTTGTCCCTGTCGGTGAGCTTGACGAAACGGCCGTCCCAGCTCCCACCGAACAGAGTGGCCAGCAGTGTGCCCTCGACGCCCCCTCCTTGCGTGAGGCGCTGACGCTTGACACTCAGCTCGTAGCCGCCCACCTTGAGCAGCAGCACGTCGTCAGGGGAGGACTTTGACGGATCTGATGCGCCGTGTTTCTGCCGCTCTTGCTGGGCGTCATCATCAGCTTGTTTGATTTGTTTGTGAAGGGATTCGACGGCGTCGCTGGCCTTGGTCGTGGGAACGTGGAGCTGGTTGAGAATCGAGATGACGCTGAACTTCTGGGCTGACAGCTCGGCCTGCATTTTCGGTATGAGTCACCAAACGTCGCTGCATCAACCACACGCACAGACACAATTGTATTTATCGGCAGATCTGCGTCCTTTTGGCGTCATGTAGCACTTCTTGACCCACCTCAGGCTGATGCTCGCCCTGTGGCCCTGCGCCGGCCTCCACTTCCCTTTGCGCGCTAAAAAGGCAAGCTCGCATGCCGATTCCGGCAGGGGCGGAACAAGCAGGCATCCCCTCTACCAGTGCGTCATGTGAACCAGGTGAAATAGCGCACAGGAGAAAGCAAAAAAGACTCAGGAGTGACGGAGGCCAATACTTTCTCTGCCTGACTGCAGTTTGACGATGAGCGACCGCGCTGTCGGCCTCTTCGATGGTCATTTTGTGTATGAGGACGGCCACGGAGGCTATGAGATGGACGTGCAGGGGGAGCGCCGGGCCATCTTGCCCGCCTTTCATCCGCAGATCAAGCTGTGCTTTGGTGCCCCCAAGAACAGCAGCAGCCACCAGCCCAACCAAGAATGGTATGTTTCACAAGATGCGCAGAGAAGGGGAGAGCCGGTCAAGTGAGTGTACACATGTGTGTGTAACAGTTTTATTGTCGCTGTCAGTGGTGACGCGCCGAAGATCCCTCGCGAGGCCAGGTGACCGCAGCAAACACATCCACATACATCTGTATCCTCTCTCTCTCTCTCTCTGTGTGTGCGTGTGTGTATTGTCAGCGGTGAGTCGGTGCCCCACCGCCAGCGCGTGACTTCATCCTCACCTTCACCTGTAGCAGCAGCAGCAGCAGCAGCAGTGGCGGCGATGAGACCGAAAGAAACCATCGAGGTGACGGACCTCGGCGTGCAGCACCAGGTTGTGCAGCAGGGCGCCGGCCGCCAGCCGACCGCCAACGACCGAGTGACCTTCGACCTCACCATGTGGGAGGACAAAATTCACGGCGGCATCAAGACGGTGGAGTGCCATGGCGTGACGTGTGCCGTGAGCGACGGGCTGCTGTGCGACTGGCAGAGGGAGGCGGTGCTGCTCATGTCTGCGGGGGAGGTGCGGCACCTCACTGTGCCGCCAGAGGTGCAGGAATGGGTGCTGCGGGACAAGCGGATGGGATATGCCGAGATGAGGCTGGTGGCCATCCATGGTGACGATCAGTCGGCTGTCGACCTGTGTAGAGAGGGGGGGTTCAGAGGAGAGCTTAGTGGGCGGCCTTCGTGCGGGTGGCCGATCGTCTTCACGTGGTGTGTGTGGATAGCTATGGTGCGTGTCTGACGGTTTTCACCCACGGATGGATTTTCACGTCGCTGTTTTTTGTGTGTACAGAGGTCAATGGGACTCATGTTTGTGCAATTCCAAATCACTGTTCAGATCCGAAGATGCATTCATCATCATATTGCAATCAATGCAGTCAATCACATCAGAGTCTCACAGGAACCCACAAGCACCCACACATGAGTCTTTCGTGTGCATCCATCTGTCGAGAGAGGATGGCGGAATGAGCCAACTAGCCGGAAAGAGAGACGGGGATGACGGTGGAATACTAGAAATGATGGGATTGTTTCGAGCCCTTTCTGCACTTGTCTGTCTGTCCCTTAGGCGGATCTACGCACACCAAAACACCCACACGCACTCTACGCCCCACCCTCGGTATATCTGTCTGTCGTCTGTGTGTGACAGAGTCAGTCGTCCTCCTCCTCCATGGGCACTCGTCAGGTGCATCGACGCATTCCTGTGTGTCTTTTTGCGGCGTGTGATGGATGTCTTACTCGAACCTGTCGATATGCTTTTGATCCAGGTCGAACGGCCCCGCTATCATTTCCCCGCGCCTGCCGTTGCCCTTCTTGTCCCACAGGGTGGCCTAGAGGAGGGTTTTCTTGTTGGTGGTGCCCCTGACGACCACCTCGCCCTTCCGCCACTCATCCCGCCGCCCTCCCGCGAACCACCGGGCCTCCCCCCCCTGCCGGGAACGTCCGTCTCACCGATATGTCGCAGCTGTCAGGGTCGTCTGCTGGGGGTCTGCAGCTTTCAGTCCGTCTGCCTTTGCGGTCCTTCGCTTCGCAACTCCTTTCAGAGAACTTATTCTCTGCTCCTTTTGGACGCCCACGCGATTTCGGGGCCAGGGGGTGGGTGGGGGCTGAGACTGCGTTCGTTCCGCACATTGCAGATGGCATTTTTCGCTGCAGAGAATGGCCTTCTTGATGGTCCTCTCGTGTATGCGTGCGGAATTGGTGTGCATGCGCTCCTAAAAAGGTGTGCGAGCTTCCAGGGTGGATCGCTGAGGGATGCCTGAAAGGAGGGAATTGTTGCTGCGCATCCCGCTGGGCCCGTCACTTGCACCATGTGAGGTCGGTCCGGCATCGCATCTGACACGGCGATAGCGTGTAGCCATGATGGATGGCTCGGAGGAGGAGGAGGATCTGTCGGGCCACACCACAGCACCTGACACCGTGATTAGCAAGGTGAGTGGGAGCTGTAGGGGAGCGGACGGGTCGGAAGACAACCGGCAAGTGACGACGAGTTTGCTGCCGTACTGTGTGTGTTTTCGTTTGGTGCAGTTGTGTACCGACGCTAGTTTGTTGCGCGAGGGGCTCCAGAGGCTGCAGAGGGACGCACAGCGGAGCCGTGAGGCGTGCCAGCGAGATGGCGGCGGGGTGGCCAAGGCGTTGCTTTCGTCTGCGTCGGCTCACGCGTCGGCAGCCGAGTCCTCCATTGGAGCGATGATGGACTGCCTCACCGCAATGGCGGCCATGGCCCTCCCCCAGCCAGCGGAAAACACTGGTGCGTCCTCTGCTGCTGCTGCTGCTGCTGCTGCTGCTGTGGCCATCGAAGTGTCCCATGAAAACCCCGGTGCTGAGGTATGAAGGACTCAAGAGGGATGGGTGCAGGGTGGCATATGTGCATTTCTGTCCTGTTGTTGTGTTGATGACTGGTGCAGAGTAGTGTTATGGTAGATGAGGAGGCCGCCCCGACGCCATCGTTTTGCCTGGTCCACACGTCGGGGAACCCGCCGCCGAACAATGGACCGGTGAGAGCAAGACAACAAAGACCGCCCACACGTGACCCTGGCGATCTCTGTGTGTGAATGTGTCTTTTGTGCAGCCGTCCTTTCGCCTCTCCCCCGATGAGCTGGCGTGTGTTCGGCTTCTACCAGCCCTCAGAGCTGACGCGCGTCGCCACCACGATCGGCAGGACGGTCTTCGGCTGGGCAGCCAAGCGATACACCCACCTGACCATCGACGGCTCGGACAAGGGCGGCGTGCGCCAGCAGTGGGAGCGGATGCCGCTGGAGGTGGCACACCGGTGGGGCCGCCGTGCGACCAACCTCACACACCTGCACGTCATATACCCTCGGTATGCCAGCTGCTGGTGTCGTGGGATTTGGGTGGCGATCCTCGAGGGCAATGCAGCGGCCAGGAAGGCCATGAGGGAGAGGAGGGAGGAGAGGCAGGGCGGGGGGGAGGCAGCGGCCGCAGCCAGAGGGCAGGACCTGCCGTCCGCGGCGTCATCCATCAAGGTGCTCAGCTTCGAGGAGGACAGCGACGGAGAGCTGTATGATGAGGCCAACGACATCTCGTCCGACCCCCTGCCGCCCTCTCCGTCGCCTGTCCACCTGTCGGCCCTCGAGGAGGTGCACAACCTGCCATACGGCTGCGCGGAAGTCCGCACGAGCGATCGTGTGTGGCAGACGCCGTCGGTCCGGGTCATGACATTCGAGTGGGACGATACTCCTGATCCTGAACGCGC